CCATCACGAAGAAGCCACACACTAATCCTTTTGTCTCATCGCCAGGCCACTTTGATACGAATATCTCCACTATTAAGCTTATGGTGGCGCCTGATGAAGTCTTTATAGTGGCTAAATGTTGTGCCGGCATGAATGTCACCCAATGGACAGGAAATGAGTTTATTCTGCTAAAATGCCTCAGAGCGAAATTGACGACATTGTCTCGAAATGCTTGGCCTGTAAGATGCTTCCCAAAGAGAGGTCTGTTAGACCACTTCGGCACTCCTTTTAATCCTATTCGATAACGGGAAAATCACTCTCCACAGTAGACGTGCCAGCAAATGCAGTGGCCAGACATCCACAGAATGCCTTGAGGTGCTTGAAGCATTATTGCACGTAGTTCCAGCCAACTACAAATGTAGTCTTGAAGTCGCATTGATACAGTACCTGCTTCAAAGAAGGCTCGTGATTGTAAGCGGCTTGCAAATCTTGAAAAATTATGCTCAATAAGCTCTGTATACTGCAGGTTTTAACAGGAGGACAAACGATCCTACTTTTTGTGGATAATGTCGTTGAACTCTCGACCGCGCAGTCTCACAAGCTGATGTTGCAGAACAGGCAGCATGGTTCCAGCAGCATCGTTTTTTTATTCTCGTTTTGCCACAATGTTAGCTAGACACCAATCATTTCGGCGAAGGAAAGGGCGATGTTCTTGACAACGGCTGTCATTTCGTGGGCCCCAATCTCTTCTATGGCCGCTCAAACATAGTCGCTAAAATCAATCTATACATCTATGACATTTTTTTAGCTTAATAAAAATACTTCTCATCCTGCGAAAGGACAGAGAAGCTAAGGTCGATAGCGTCGACATCTGCTTGCCCACAATCTCTGAAGCGCTGAACCAAGAAATGTGTCCTGTGTTTCCTTCGACCTCAAGATGCCTTCGCGTTGCTGAGAAACGAGGGTCGTCAAGCCTTCGAGAGATGGTCGTCTCGCTCATAGCTTTTGCGACAAAGATGATGATCACCCACCAGGTGAGTGGTGGTGCACAAGAAGGATTTTTCTCACCAAGGTACGCTCGTGCTGCCACTCAATGCTTCCGAAACCAATTAGCAACCTACACCAAATTTCAGAACATTGAATGAATACAATCGAAGCTGTACCTTGGACATTGATTTTCATTAAGTGTCAGCAACTTTTTGGGCCTTCGTTTTCATTTCATTGATTAGGTTCTTCTGTCTTCGTAAGTACGAGATGAGGAAGGTCATTGGAGAGTAGAACTACTCATCCGACAAACGCTTGAAAAATCGCTGCAGAATAATATCCAGTTGGCGCAGACCACATCAAAGACAAAAGATACCAGGCTTCGCGACATGCTTGAAGCGAGTGGCGACGCCTTTCACTTTTCCGGTGATCTTTCGTTTACCGTCTGTCGAGATGGAAACAAAAAGATCTTACCAATGAGGAAAGATGGCGTCTACTGCATTACAGCATGCATAAAATCTTCTTTTCCAGTGTGACTGCTGAACATCGGGATAGCTAGAAATGGAGCAAAGAATCTCGGAGCGGACGAATAGCCTAATGCGGATGCGGATGTTCAGGTACAACGTGAACATGTGAGTAGACATGTCCATGGCAATTCAACACTTTCAAGGCTACTTGGGACTGGATAGGGCTTGGCGTGGTCGGGCTTGTAGTCAGGCGATATAGGCAATACGTAATCGTCAAATGACCATCGTAAAGCCTTTTTAACTGAGAAGATAAGAGAATTATTGACAAGATGGTCGGATATCGTGTCAGGCATAAAGTATTCGGGGCTCTTTGCAGTTCTCCTTGCTCTCGTCGAGAAATTTATGATCGTTTATTCGGGAGACGATGACATGCCGGTGTTCAGGTGAGCATATTGACCATCTCACTGAATCGCTATTTTCTTGAAACTAAGCACAATACCTAATTCATTCATGATGTCACGACCGATCACCATAGCGTCTTGGATCTGTTTCGAAACTTCGAATCTGGGCTGACTGCTTGAGGAAAGGAAAGCGAAACTGCACGATTATTTTACCATCAGTAATGATGTGGCGGAGTGGGTTCGTAAAGCTGTATGATGAGACCCTAAACCACTCACTGTGCCGGAATGCCCACTGTCGGAAGGGGGTACTCCGATGCCGCATATGGACCTTCTCTCACCTTGTGTACCCGTCGGCTGGCATTTTGCACTTTTCGGAAGACTTGGTGAGGATGTAGATATCTGCCTTGATGGAGGTAGACCTGGGTGCCTCGAGTGGATATCCTTCACTCGGTGGGCCGGAAGGTGGCCACTCGATCGACCTTGTAGAAAGAAAATGGAGCTTGTCGTCCCTGGCCTTTTTCTTCTTGTTTCAGGGGTATTAACCGCCTGACCTTTACTTTGATCCCGGACCGTGAGGTTAGGGAGACCTATTCTGATAAAGGGTCTTTGGGGGTGTTGCTACTCGAACGAGATCACAGGCCATATATATCCTGGAGCTCTATTCGCACTTGAACTTCGCTACACAACTGTCTTCACGGGGGGGCCAAAATATATCCCTTCCCGGAACAGTGAGTAACTTAGAGCAAGTTCTTCTTAGGTGAAGGAGTCGTGCCACGTAGATCGCGAATTAAGTAGTCTTTAATATAGTCCTACCTTTTTTAATTCCCTTATTCTATCCTATCCTGAAGCTCTGATTCCTTGCGTCGACGGGTCTGATCCTTGAGTAAACTGGCCAGGAGTGGCTAAAACCCGAGGTACCCGGGTCGACCGAAGAGGGACCGAGTCTACCGACGAGGGGCCGAGGTCGACCGATGAGGGACCGGGTCTACTTATGGATCGAGGTCGAACCATGAGGGGCCGAGGTCGACCGATGAGGGACCGGGTCGACCAACGAGGGACCCAGGTCTACCAATGATGGACCGGCCTTCCAAAGGGGACCGAGGTCGACTCCTTCGGTACCGGTTAACCGGTACCCTGATACTGATTTTTTTTGTGGATCCTTAAAATTGATCTCCGCCAACGTTGCTTCCCCTCGAGGCCCCTGTCTCTCTGGTCTCTTCTCTTTGATACACGGTCTTTTATACTCCGAATACAACTGGCTTCTGCGGTCTCCATATCTCAAACAAACGCTTCACCACAGTAACCTCGCTGTAAATAGCTTAAAACTTTGTCGCCGACGCTACTTGTTTATGTCCCAGCTGAGCATTGGCCTGAAAATAGTACCTTGGTTTATAATGCCTAGCGATGCACCACAATTGAGTGATGAATAAAAGGTGCCATTTACGTGTTTAAGCTGGACCTTGATCCGAAACGGAGTGAGATTGTTCTTGCGTTAAATTGTCGTTGATTAAACCGACGAGCTTAATTTCGCCTTGGCTGTCGTGTGACCCATGTTCGTATCTTAGATACTTTTTCTCGCTCGAGGCTCGTGACTTTGGCTCGAAAAGCTTGTACACCTCGCGCTTCTTCTTGAGGTCAAAGCAATCCCCGATTTTTTTAGAATTTGTCTTGTGGTACGAGCACCACTTCCCGTCATCTTGATGCTGCATAGTTCTTTTCTTGCCGTGTAGGGAACCCTGTCGGTGTTGGCACTGCTCACATGAGTCTTGGGGCCCTTCGCGCTAGTCACGTCGATTCTTGCGGTAGTTTGACGGGCGTTGATGGTCGCGACCACCGTTACTTCTTACATTGAAATTACCTTGACCATTTGGTCGCTCACAGCTAGTCTGCTTTCCGCCTTTATTAAGGCGTTCGAAGTCAATGGTAGGGTTGGTCATAGTTTCGTACGAAACTCCACAAAATGAGATCTTGACTTGCCGATTCGATGGCATAGCACGATAGAAGTAGCAACATTGCTGAAGCTCCGACTTTTTTTGCGCATCCTGGTGCAACTCGCCGTACATTTGTGAAAGTTTTTGCAGACGTGCTGCGCAGCGTTTCACCGTTCCATCGCGGCGCTTGGTGTCGGTCCATAGCTCCTTATCTAAATCTTCACTGTAGCCCGCTGGAACTAAAGGTTATTGGAGAGGTTGAAAGTGCTTGAGTGGTTTATTGCAAAACGCAAAGTGATTCATATGGTCCTTAGTTCGCTACACTACTCTAAGCCTAATGTTTACCCTCTGGATTCACTCTACTTGATTCATGATTTGCTGCAGCCAATCAGAGCCTGAGCCCAGCTTCAACTGCATCCAATCACAGGAATGACGGTAGTATCGCGACTGATGGTCATACCGGTATCTTATCGGTATACCGCAGCTGGTCGAGGAGTCGTATTGACAACAGGAACAAGGAGTAATCCGATCTCACGGTAGAAGCCTTCAAATGTGATTCCTTTGTCGGAAGCTTTACTGACGTGCGCTCTACTTCGCGCAAGAGATCACCGTCAACTAGCGTGAGCAGAGTTAATCAGAGCCCCAGCTTTTTACTTTAGCAAGGCTTTTGAGCTTCATGGTCCACGGGAGCCAGTTCTTCGCTGAGTCATGGCGAAAGCGCTTTATCTTCATCTTAGCGATATCAGTTCGTGTGGTCGCACTTTCTTGGCACGTCACTGACGTAATCATCGTCAATATTCCATACCATGCTGGAGGCAATGGGATTCTCGATCCGCATTGTTGACGTTTGTCTTGGACGGCCAAATCTGAATTACTGAAATGACACCGTGGCTGGCACTGAAGCTATATGTATTTATATATTTTAGCCATTTCATATTATATGGGGACCCGTTAATCTTACGGTGCCGTTGACAACAACAACAACACATCCTTTCTGCTGTATATGGGCATTAATGACGGCTCTTGCTACAAGCTGCGGAAGTGGTGCAATTGTGGTTTTATAGAGATGAAAGCTCTTATTATTATCGACGTCTTATTGTTACATAACGTGCTAAATATTTCGACCAATCACATTCTAACAAATTTAGGGTGGTTGATGTTACCAATAAGGTGGTTGATAAATAACGCCATAAAATAAACCAAATAAACACGGCCTCTTTTGTTACAGTAGCATCACGATGACGCTAGAGAAACACACTTACCCGTTGTTTAATAATCGGTGAGTCGATATTTATATTGCAGTACACGTATCTAATTCTTAAAGGGCTGCATTCTTGTGATGTAGTACACTCCATGTCGGGTACTATACGGACGTAAAGAATAGTCGAGCATTACGACAAGATCTACTGGACAAGAAGTTTGATATCGCGCTGATTAATGCTCATCTGGTACTTCAATACGAGTGACAATATGCTGTTAATAACACCTTTCTACTAACTGATATTGGTTGTAATATGTACCAGATTGCTGGGTCTTTCCAAGTACACGCCGCTGCCTCGCGAGCTTTGCTCTGTGATGCGTCCAATCAACTCACCACACGGAGTCTTCACGCTGAGCTCGTCTTTAACATGTCCGGATCGCGCAACGTGACCGAGTCTTTCAAGAGGTTTGGTGTCAGCGACGATACTACGTCGCTTGTGGTGTGCGTGATCGATGCGGATGAAGAAACGCTGAAGCAAGTGGAGACGTTGGTGGATGGCACACAAGTGCCGTTCGACGAGCTGGGAACGCACTTGACCAGCGAAGACGTAAAGCTCATTAAAAAGTTCTACAAGATCTCCGAGCAGGAACTCACAAAGTCAACGCTTGTTGACGCCGCCACGTGCAGAATAGCAACTAAGAACTGCAACAAATAACGCGAGATAGAGAGTAAATTTCGTAACGAGAAGACGCCGCACTTCGTTAGATCAGCAGCTGGTGCATAGTTCGACGGTCTCATGGCAGCTGATACAGCTTCCTGAGGTCATCAACTTGATGCTCGTCGATCTTGTTGCTCCTTTTCGCTAATGTTTCCAAATACTGGACCACCCATGCCAGATCTTCTTTATCGCTATCGGACAGAAGCATAATTGTCATGTTAAAGCGCGGTACTTTCGTCAGCTCGCTAATAAACGCAAGCACAAATGATGCGGTGTCGGCCGATAGTGAAGAGTTTGTCTCCGATACGGGGACCACACCATAGCGGAGGACGTGAAAGATTTCACATAACACGTCCGACTCGATCGCAGTCTTGAAGACGCTGCGAAGTGAAGGAGGATCAACCATGCGCAAATAATTAGCGCGTAAATTGAGCAAACGATTTTTCTGCTCAGCATCTCCACGCAAAGCGAGCGTCTTCCACACGCGGCCAAACTCGTAAGAAGCAGCCGGTGCTTTCTTAGGAAGTTTGGGCAACATAGTTAAGCTCTTCGTCTTCTTTTTTGTGCATGTTGCTTGCAAAAACGTCGCATCCTGAGGTAGTAGAGAGGAGGGTGATTCTTGCCCTGGTAAAGACATTTGTTCCGTGCCAGAACTTCGTTTCTTCAGCTGTTGTGACTCAGAACTTTCCTCCTTCTCACAGGCAGCAAGATCCTGCTCACCAGTGTAATTATTCAGTGATCTTTCTCCCACAATTTCAATTACAAATTCTGTTCGTTTTGGAGAGCACTTGATTGCTGTCTGAATAAGTTCTCGAGTCGATTGCAGCTGTACCTGGATTTGACGGTTTCTCGGATCCAAAGTCGCAGCACAATGGAAATCAAGCAATGCGAGTCGATGTTTTCCCATCGAGTTCCGTGCCGTGCCTCGGCGTGAATACGATTTGACATGTGTTGGATCTACTTCTAGTGCCACTGTGCAGTCGTCTTCTGCATTGGTAAACTCTTGATTCTTCAGATACGCCATGGCGCGATTCGACAGGACCACTGCATTGTTTGGATTATACCTTAGACAACGGCTATAGCTCTTGATTGCAGCCATGTAGTCACCACATTTATAATGTCCATTTCCTTCTTCTTTTTCTAAATCCTCTTGACTTTTAGTGGTCAAGTGGTTGCTCATTGCATCAGTCCTTTGTCCATTGAAATAAAAGACTCGTGCAGTTCGTGGTGGAGAAATCTCTCTCTCGTCAACTGTTTGTTTGCAAACCAAGTCTACGGTATGAACGTTCTTCTCCCATGTATACAGATCTGATAAATTATCCGGCAATTGCGACGTATTAACGCGTATCGGATGCTGCACTTCCTCTTCCGTCATTTCTTACAGTATAAAACCGATTCTGATAGCTTATTTATAGTATACGTCTTCTGATTATTAGTTTACACAGTACCCGTGTACATAGATATCGTTAAGAGAATGAGATGAACGTTATGTCAGTTATGGAGGTGGACCGCACGTTGATAGATAAGGATTTCGATCGCTACGTACTGGCTACAGATGGGATCACCAAGTGTGCTACTGCACTACCGATTGAGGTGTTGACACCACTGAATGCAGATGCAACTATGCGCAAGGCGCATTGGGAGTCACGCGTCCACTCTAACGCCCTAACGGTCGATCCATTCCTGAGCCAAAGTTATGGAGCAAGCGTTGCATATTACGTGAACGCAGAGTATCAGCTTGTACAGGTTGTAGGAGACAAGACAAGTACTCAAGTGAAGCTTGAGAACGTTTACAAGTTGCCGGTATTGACGACACGACAGGAAAATGTCTCGATACAAGTGGCAGGTAAAGGGGTGATCGTGTATTGTGATGGACATGGGACGCTGTACTTTTTACAAGCTGAGATCGAGAAGCCTGGAGCCAAGTGGAGTCTCGTGTACAAATGTGCACCGTGGGATGTGATCCCGTTGCTTCTTTTGAGAGCTTTTTACAATGAACAAGACCAGCATCTTTATGTTGTGGTGGCTGAATCGTTGTCAAAGAACGAAGTTGACGGAGCATTTCGACTCTCGTTGGTTGATGTGGTAGCAATTGGAACTTCTACTGGAAATGATATGAAGATTGATTGTCAATCTGTTGGACTGGAAAAACACGTGACGTCAGGGATTGCTGTTGTGACAAAATTACCGACGTACGTCTCGTTTTGCGGGCCTACAGTGGCTTTGCTTGTCGAAGAAACGCACCAATTGCTTCTGAAGCTTGTAGCAGACAAGGAGGAGATGACGTTGATGAAAGAAATTTCACAAGAAAATGACACATTGATGCTTCACAAGCGTCGCCACAATGAAGACGTATTGGACGATAATGAGATGGCTGCATTGCTGTCCAAACTTCCACGAGCAGGAATTGGTTTTCACGGCGAGATCTCGAAGCCCAAAGAACCCAGTGAATTAGCATCTCTCGACTTCAACACGCCGTTAAGTGAGAGGTTCCATAAGTCCAGTACGCCATTTAGCTCAGTCGATGCGCCTCTCTGCGGCAAACCCGATACCTCGACTTGCTACCGCAACGAAAACATTGGCGGCAGTCCAGGTCGATCACTCGAGATCCCGACAGCAGAGTCCATTCTCAGCGGCTTTGAGGAATGCGATAACGGCGACCCAAACGCCAAAGCGTCCTTGTTGCTAGTTAACTGCGAGCAACAAGTGGTGCAACAGCAATTGGCGATCGATTGTCTGAACTTTCAGTTCTTGTGTCCAAGCGTCCAAGTCAACAGTTCAAGCGACTTCAAGTCTGCGCTACTTTTTCGAAACGATGTGCATGGTCTCGTCTTCAAGCTGAATATGGTCGTCGCTCAACTATCGTTGCAGCACGCGTCCACATTGCCAGCATTTGGCTTTGTACAGGCGTCCAAACAGGAGAAAAAGTTCATGTCATTTCATCCATCAGGTTCATTCGCTTGCATTGGCGAATTCAAGCGACGTGTGTTCGTGTACCAAGGCAACAACAGCTCGGAAAAAGAACGTATGTTACATACGCGTCGACAATACGTAGTAGAGATTGGTGATCAAGAGCTGCTAGGGATGCAGATTGTGAGTGAGAACACAATTCTCGTGCTGACGTCGAGCCAAGTCTACATGCTTGAGCTGGACACTTGACTTGGGACACATTCGGCTAGTTTTATCCAGTAAGAATGCTGTATAACATGAAAATCAACCAATCCCGTACCTGATGTTGATACAGCCACACAAAACCTGTCTGTACTTGGAAATAATGGTGCTCTTCTCGATGCGTCGTATGCAGCCAGTTGCTCTGGCCATGGTACGCTCTACAGCTCGCAGGTAAGTGCATTATCTGCATCTTCTATTACTATTGACTTTGCTTGATTAACGCCTGGGTGTTATACTGATTACTCGTTGTCCTGTGGTGATGTGTATCGTACTTAGTGGTCCTCGAGTTGTCCCTATACCCGCAGCTCAACTGAGCGCTGTACAGCTCATCTCTACCCACCACTTTGGCAGACGCTCGTTCTCTTCTACGCCAGTGAATGGGTACAAATCTTTTGCTTGAGATTGGTAAAAATGAAGAGATTAACGAAGATCTTGTTGGATTGCAGACTGTTTGATGATGACCGAAGCGTTGCTGCGCCTTCGGAGGTGGTGGAGAAGGTGCTGGATACTGCCAGTACGTTGTTCTTTTGTGCTTTGGTGGATTTGGTGAAGAAATCTGATGGTGTTGTGTTGTTTTCTTCTTTTTGGCAAGCAAGACTCTGTTGATTACGCCTCCGTGGCCGACCTTGGTGAGAAGCCGCATTCTGAGTGGAACATGGTAGTGGTTATTGGTGCTGACAATTGACCGATTCGGATATGTTAGGCTACGGGTTCTCAGATATCGCCATTCGCTCTCTGGATGTGATTCACTCCACGACGGGACTTCCATGGTGGGCGACTATTATTGTGACGACGGTTGCCGTGCGAACGGTCTTTTTTCCAGTCACGGTTCTTGTGGTAGGTGATGCAGAACGTTGTTTTTACTTAGCATGTTCTGACCAAAATCTAACTATTGCTATGAGATAGATGAGACATTCGGCAAAGATGAAGCTATTTCAGCCGGATATGGAAAAGTTGCGGGAGGAGATGGACGCTAACCCGACGAAAGACGGTGATTCCGCGCTGGAGTTCCAGAAGAAGTATAAGGCGCTAATGAAGAAACATGACGTGAATCCGTTGAAAAGCATACTTGCACCATTGGCACAGGTGCGGAATAGTTGCTAGCAAGTCTTCCTGTTCAAGAAATATTGTGCTGACCAACGCTACGTATTCGTTACGTCGTCGTCCTACGTAGATCCCAGTTTTCCTTGCATTCTTTTGGGGTTTGCAGAACATCTCAAAATACTTTCCTGAGTATGCACACGAAGGAGTTGGCTGGATTACCGACCTTTCCGTCGCTGACTCCACTATGGCGCTCCCCGTGATTTCCTCGGCTCTGATGGTAGCGTCCGTGGAACTCGGTGAGAACGCAGTGTCTGGTGAAATGAAGGACAAAATGAAATTCGGCATGCGCTGCTTTGCGGTGATGATGGTCCCACTTACCATGAACTTCCAGTCGGTATGGAGTGTATAAAGTGCAGTTCTTTTATTTTCAAGATCCTTGTATTCTGACGCTTGTTCTGCTTCTGACAGGGAATCTTCGTGTACTGGGTGACGTCAAACATGTACACGCTGGCGCAAACGGCTTTGTTGCGGCTGAATTGTGTCAAGCGTGCGCTTAATATTCCCGTCACGGAGGTACAACGCCTGGAGACATCCAGCATAGCGACGACTTCGCCTTTTGAAGTCGCAGTGGCTCGCGCAAAGGAGGGGACGGTTGTCAAAACTCACATGTATAAGCCAACAAAGCCGTCCAAAAAGATGTAGTTTTCGCGAGGCCCATACAATTTCGATAAATCGAAAATAACGTCGATGGCGAATCTCCGGTGACGGACCTAGTATAGAGATGTGCATTCAACCAACTCATTACGTTGTTCGATCCAGGCTTTGGATATCAGAGCAATCTATTGTGCCTTTTCAATTGCCACGGAATCGCTTCCATCACGTGCCCGGACAATATCGAATTTGTCAGGCAAACTCTGATTCAACACCCACAAAGCAAAACGTACTTGTTATTGAGCAAACCACAACGATAACGATTTTGTGAATAGTGGTCCGTACCTGAATCACAGGGCACAGTGTGGATGGCAAGAAGCGCGCATGCTCTTCACAAAACGCACTCCGCATGGTAACTTCTTCTTGCGCTAGAACTGCAAGCTTGGCTTTTGTCTGCTCGATCTACACGACATCACCAAGCGACACTGCGGTCATTTGACATACTTTCGGCAATGCTGCATGACCAACGGCTTACAAATTGGCGGACTTTCGAGTCATACTGCTTACGTCGAAGCAGTTCGGTTTCAATAGACTGGTAAGATGCCAGAAAGTGGAGATAGAAATCCCGAAGACTACGTAGCTCATCAAACAAGAGCTGCACATCTGCAAATATCACCTCGTAGCTACAGCAACGAAGAGAGTTCACGCAAGTCAGCTTTGTTGAAGTAAAGTCACTGCTTTGCGAAACGCACTGTGGATAGATATCGTTGATTGTAGTGAAGTACTGCAGCAGGAACCGGTCGCACTGCTCCGTGTCGACGAAAAAGTTGACCTATCAACACCACACGAATAAGTGGTCAGCCCTCGTAGCGATATCAACATTTCAGGCATCGTAGCAATACGCACTGCTGCGTCGTAAATCGTTTCAATTGGTTTCACATCGTCATCTCTACTCAAACAACAAAGTCAATACGCACCGAAAACAAGAATGAGACAATTGAACGTACGTGATTGAAGTAATGTCTCGTTGCTCTCCAACTAGCACGTCAATATCACTTCCATGAGCTTTGTTAAACATCCTGAAGAATTCATAAATAGCTGCGATCCTTTCAATCGCATGTTGATGTGCTGCCAACAATTCTTCCACCCTGCAAAACCAAACACCACCAAAGAAACCCATCAAACGTCTACGTATCCCCAACACCAGCATCCCTTGTCATCCTCTCGTACTCTTTTGTCTGCTCTAAAGCATCCTGTTGCAATGATTGAACTGTCTCTGCATCGACAAAGTCAAACAGCGTCTTGCCTTGCTCACCGCCCACCATATTCGGGTCCACTGAGCGATTCTGGAGCTGTTCAAACACGCAATCCATCTCATGGAGAAGCTGTAGATCCCGTAAACATCAAGATCATGCAATACATGTCATTTTGTTAGTATCATAAGACTACGATATAATGCAGCAACTGAAACACACCGGTGTCTGTGCAAACACCGAGTCTTGTGCGATTCCTTGTGCACTTTGGAGCTTCACACGTGAGGCGTCCAGCATTTTTCCCAGTACCTGCACGTATACATACGTATATAACGTTATAGTGTGATGATGTATATACATTGGTATCAGATAGACAGACAGACCTGGCATTTCTCAGAGATTGTCTTGACCACCTCACACGTCGCAATAGTAAAGTACTCAGCAGAGTCATGATCCTGCATCGGAGTATCAGATCTGAGTAACGTCTGCGACACGGCTCGTGTGATTATTTTGTAATGATTTGTCCGACTGTTTCTTGAAGGTACGGAATAATCAGATCTCGGGATTAGTATATCATATTTGAAGAGGTTTCATCTGTTTTCGTAATCAAAAACAATCGAAATGTCTCAATTCAAAGACGCAGAAATTAATTCTTCATAAACGTGGATGAAGTTATGGACGGCGGCGTAATCGCCATCCTTGCAAACGTGAGTTTTGTGGCTCTGCTGGCCATGGCGTTTTTTATAATGCGACATAAGATCATTCGTAATCATACGCGTAGATTGCGCGAATTGGCGGCTCCGCTGTTGGGCAAGTACGTCGTTAAAATCGCTTGTAGTTGATTGTAGCTGACGGACGTTGTTTTGTGTGTTTTTTTAATAGTTCTAGTGGTAGAAATGATCACCGATTGGATGCAGCTACTAGGGAGGCAGAGAAGGGCTTTGACGTGTGTCCTGTATGTGAGTTTGAGAACTTTAAGAAGGCACTCTTTTGCTCTATCTGTGGGGAGCAAATGGACACGAAGGAGATGGTGGAAGACAAAGGCAGGAAAAACAAGTGGAAGCGCAGCAGAAAGGAGAAAAAAGAGTGGGAGATGAAGACGCTACGTCATGACTTGACAAAGCGTCAGCTTCGTGCAAGGAAGAGGAAGGAATGGACGAGGAAATTGGACGTAGAGGGCAACATGTTTTGGTTCCGTGTAAAAGAAGAAAACGAGACTTTGACACCTGCTCGAGTAGGCAAAGTGATTCGATTTGTGAAGCTAAATGAGAATGCAAAGATGCCCGGACAAGTTAACGGTCCGGTCGCGACACAAAGTGATGTGGCGATTGTGGAGTCTGTGAAAGTGAAGATATTCAATGAGGTGGTCCATATGGAAATTGTGCCTGCTACGAAATGGAACGCTGCGGCACGAGCGACTGGGGAAGTGCTTGAAAACGATACTCAAGTTGGAGTTGAGCGCCGTCGCGAAATATTGAAATTGGCGGCTAAGGACTTTCCGTCAAAGTACGCGTACTTTGTCCAGAGCTCGGCGTCGCTACTCGTCCCGCCTGAGGTGGAGTTTCTTAAGCTGTCCATTCACAGAGATTACATGTTTGAGGAATCTATGGAACACCTTGGCTGTATAGATGAGAAGTACATTCGGTCGGCTATGCGAATTAATTTTCTCGAGGAAAGTGGCGTGGACGCAGGTGGACTCCATCGAGAATGGTTTATGATGCTTACGGAGCTACTTATGGATCCGAAAGCGGGGTTATTCAAGGTCACGCAAGGAGACGACCGGGCGTTCTTTCTGAACTCAAATTCCAGCTATGAAAATGGCGAGGAACATCTTGTCTATTATTACGGAGCAGGGCGTTTATTAGGGCGATCACTTTTGGAAGGCACGGTGCTTAACTTTCATCTGTGCGTTCCACTACTCAAGCTTATTTTAGGTACGCCACTGTGTATGGACGACGTAGAGTACATTGACCCCGAGGTACACAAGAGCATGAAGTGGATACTGGAAAATGACGGTGTCGAAGCGTTGGACCTGGATTTCAGCGTGATGGAGCGTGTAGGCTGTCAGACAGTGCTGGTCGATCTTATCCCTAACGGACGCAACATCGAAGTTACCGATGTCAACAAGCACGAGTATTTGGAACGCAAATTCGAGCATTTGCTGCTGAGGAGCGTCGCTGATCAGCTGTATGTCTTTCTCAAAGGAATTTACGAAGTCATTCCGCAGCAGTTGTTGACGCTCTTCGATTACGAAGAGCTGGATAATCTCATGTGTGGATCTCCCGAAATCGACGTTGACGATTGGGAGAAACACACATCCGTCGCCGAGAGCGTGTCGAGGTCTCCGACTCTTGGGTGGTTCTGGGAGATTGTACGTGAGATGCCCAATGAATACCGACGGCGTCTATTGCAGTTCACTACGGGCTGTTCACGTGTACCACTCGTGGGGTTTATGGGACTCACTAGTTACGACGGTAAGGTTTGTTTGTTTACCATCCGAGGAATTGTCGGTGCGCCGGATGAGTTTGTGCGGAGTTATGCGTGTTTTAACCGGTTGGATCTACCACTGGGTATCTCACGTGCGGAGCTCAAACGGATGCTTTATGCGGTGTTGGATACGGAGTTATATGGCTTCACTACGGACTAAGTTCGGGTTTTTTAGCGCAAATATGGGCGTACTTTGTCTCTGTTACAAACGAACAACAACGTTAGATTGACTGATTTCGTGTTTTTTATGAACTACGGTACCTGTACTGTGTAACAAAATGATTGTAGCTTGTACCTAAACCGCACAAAAGAGCGATTGCAATGACCAATTTGGCCCCAACTGCAAGTTTGCAGGAAAACAAACCTTGCCATGCGATTGAACAGGATATCAGTTTCACAAGTCAAGGCGTCAAATTGGTACGTATATAGTCGCTGACGTTTGCTAGATCCATTCTCACAGGACAAAACGTCAAATACACAATGCACGAGTAGGATTTGTCCCCCCGGCACAAATACGTCTTGGACTTATTTCTTGTTGCATTTGGCTGCAAAAACGATCTGTCCGTGTGCTGCGCTCTGCTGCTCGCCGTCGTCTTCCTCATCATACGCGACGTGTGTAAAAGAGCCATCTCTGTCGACGTGATGATCCGCTCCACGTACGTAACGACGACAAATCGAGCGAGTGTGTACCGTACTTGCAAACTAATTGTTGTCCGCTCTGACATTGCAACAGTCAGCAATTGGCCGATTATCGTGTTTTAGCTGCTCAACGGTGCGTTTTTACCTTACAAATTAATCAATGAAATATCTGTAGCATAAACTCATTGTTTCTGCGGGTCAAATGACGGCTACATAGTGAAGCAGCACGAGGATTTGCAGCCTGTATGGCCTGTGGCTTCAAAAACTTTGTCCGTGTCATGCATTGCGCTCTCTGTGGGCTGTCCAGCTTAGATCCTGAGCTTTCAGTCACTGTTCGGCCTATTCCTGACAGTCTTATTGATGAGGAAATACCGCTGCCTCTTGCTCATAAACGCCGAGAGTGGACGCGTCAATTGGACGATCAAGACCGCCTTGTCTGGCGACGCAGACTAGGGGAGAAGTCGGACCATTTACCAGGCTACGTACTACGCTTTGAGTTGCCTGTAGAGGCTGAGCCCGAGTCGGAGAGTGCAGTGTTGAGCCGCAAAGAACGTAGTCTGAGCACGGGATATGACCCGTCTGCAGGTGTGCAGTTTGAGCTGTTGGAGCCGCATGACGTTGACCCGATGCAGTTCCCACTGCCACCTCCACATGCCGATATGGTGGATATGATGGAGGACATAAAACAAACGGCAGTGGTCCTTGCTGCTCAGGATTTTCCAGCAAAGTACGCCCACTTTGTTGCAAGTACTACAATGCTGCTTCAAGATGGTGATGGCAGTGTGGAGTCTTGCTTGACAGTGCATCGAGACTACATTCTTGAGCAATCGATTCAGCATATCAAGTGTATCCATGAGGCGAATATTCGCTTAGTGCCTTTTAACGTCTCGTTTGTAGGTGAAGGAGATGTGTCAAGTGATGACAAAGGTGTCGGTGGACTACACCGCGAATGGTTGACGCTTCTGAATGAGAAGTTGGTGGATCCAGAAGTAGGCCTTTTCTCGTGCACGAAATGCAGCGATCAGAGTTTCTTCATTAACCCGCAGTCGGAGAGCGCTCTCGGAGTAGACCATTTGCAGTACTTTTACGCTACTGGACGTTTAGTTGGGCGAGCACTTCTCGAAGGAGCTGTGCTTAACTTTCATTTGTGTGCGCCGCTGTTAAAAATGATGCTGGGCATACCAATTGCCTTTGGCGATTTAGAGTACTTGGACGCGGAGATGTACAAAAATTTGACGTGGTTGCTGGACAACGATGATGCTGGGACGCTAGAGCTAGACTTTACAGTGAGTCAGCGTCACGGCAACCATGTGCAGACCGTGGAGCTCATCCCTGCAGGCCGAAACATTCAAGTAAACGACGACAACAAATTCGAGTTCGCGGACCGCAAATTCCGCTTCATGATGTTTGAGAGTGTGGCACCACAGTTGGTCTCATTTTTAAAGGGATTTTACGAAGTCGTCCCTCAGCGGCTGTTGCTAGCGTTTGACGAGGAGGAGCTGGATTACTTGCTGTGTGGCTCCGACAAGATCGACGTCTCAGACTGGAAGCGGCACACGCACCTGGCACTGGAATCTCGACGAGAAGTGGCGTGGTTTTGGGACGTTGTTGAAAACATGTCTGACATGTACCAAAAGCAGCTGCTACATTTCGCCACAGGCTTTTCACGCGTTCCACTGGTTGGTTTTCAGGGTCTTACCAGCTATGACGGCCAGCTCTGCCAGTTTACATTGGCAGACGCAGGCGGTGTGGACTACTTTCGAAGCCACGCGTGCTACAACATGCTCGAGTTGCCGAACTTCTCGATGAAGGACGAATTGAGCACAGCATTGTATGCCGCTTTGTACAACGAATACGGAGTCTACGATGTCAAGTCAGCAACGCCACCTTTGTAACTATAGATGTACCTAAGTAGAAATTGCTAGCGGTTTAGCTTGTATCGGTAACAAGCATCTTGTTTCTCCATTTTCATGTGCTGCTGCTTGACGTCGCATGATATTCCAATTCAGCTACATCTTTGCCAGGTTTTCATTTTATACAACGGAAGAAATCGGTTCACCGCATCAGGAGGAATGTCTGCATCCAACAACTTCTTTCGTGCCAAAGTCTTCTCCAGTACCAATCGAATATTTCTGGTCTCGATTTCCGACTGAAGGCGAGCGCATTTCCAATCAAAAAGACGCCACTTCTGAGCTTTAGTCTCCCCGTCAATGCCATTATTACTGTATTCGTTGCTTTGCCGCCGCGACTTTGTTATCATTTTCGTACCGACGACAACGCTTGTATCAGATGCTTGCCAGCGTCACCATTTGCCAGTATCGTCGTCTAGCCATTCGATGTTGCCAGAACTTCATTCACTTTCACCACATGGACTGTGCAGTTGTCATAATTAACGTACGCAGCTAGACACGAAATCTTCGTAGTAGCGGCACAGCTGGAGCTAATGCCTCTTGGTGCTCTTCTGCTCCAATGTATGCTTCTTAACATTAGACGGATACTCCACTTTGGCCTGGTGCAACCACGTATTCGCTGCTTAAAAAGTCGTCACAAACGCCGTAAGCTGATGTCGAGTATCCACACTGTTTATTTCCCGCAGTCCATGCGAGCGCAAAAACAAAATAATCTCGTCACAAGTGGTTCCTTCTCTTCATCACGCTTCAAAAGCCACCTCGAATAACCACCTGGCAGTTTAACAACAAATCTGCCGTCGTCCGTTCCTTCTTTCCCCTATCTTTAGCTCCCTGTACGACTACTACTATCATATATAATGTCAGCTTTCCTCCGCTAAATTGTACTCGGCTTCAGCAATGGGTCCTTTCTTACATCCAACGTCATCAGAAGCATCTTTGGCTCCTCAGTCTGCTGTCCCTCCTCAGCCTCCACAACGTTGTTTATCTTCATGACAGCAACGCTAACATTGTCCAGTTCGTCTTATTCTTTCTTCGCCTTTTTCTCCTTTCCAGTATCCTGTTTTTATTTCGTTTTCCAACTCTGTTGCTTCCGCTGTTGCTGCTCGACCTTTTTCACTACCTTCGCCAAACCCTCAGCATTTTCTTTTGTCTCACTGTCTTTAGCTGTGCTATGGTGTCTTTCTTCGTCTACTATTAAAATCAAGTTGATGTCTCTTTGTAAAACGATTGACCCAACCTGTAGAGAACGTCAAGTCCGATGGTAGTTGCATCTCTTGTGCCAATTCGAAAGTTTTTGTTTGAATGAACAGACGGGTCATGGACACGCCATTTAGCAGCTTTTCATGTACCCATAACATCATCTTCGATCCAGTTCTGGATACTTGACACGTCGTAAAGAGCGAAAATCCGGCGGTACTGCACCTTTTAGCAGTTTGTCTTTACCTCAAAGTAGATTTGAGATCGTGGCTTGCGTCGGTTTCGTATGCAGTCGGAGCGTCTCCTTTGCCCAAAATGACAAGCTCCATTGTGTCCAATTAGGATCCTCCTCTTTCTTATGAATGATCGCTCCCTTTTCTCGATACGTCCGAGAACGTCGAGACGACATTGTTGAATATATTTTTAATGGCATGCTGTATGGAAATGATGGTATCTTCTTGATGTTCAACATATCCACAACTATATGTACAGAACATATATTGTGTATAAACATTACAGTACATCATTTACGACGTCTTAAGGTAAAAGGCCTACTGCAATGACCCGCCGTCGTCCGACATTGACAACGGAACAGAGATTAGCAATTGTCCGTCAAAGTGACAGGCATCCGTTGTGGAAACAAAACCAATTGGGTCAATGGGCAGCAGATACTTTTCATTTGGATTTCGTGCCATCACAGCCGACGATCTCGATTATCTTACGACGGGCAGGAAAACCTGTAAAAGCACGAGGACGAAAGAAAAAGAAGCTTTTGTCGATGAAACCAAAGCTGGTGAAGTGTCCACAAGTGGAGAAAGCAATGCTACAATGGCTCGAGAGGAAGATTGAAAAAGATGAGGCAGTGACTGTGACAGCAGTGCAAACTAAAGCTCAGGAACTCGAGCACAAGGTGAAAGTCACAGTCGAAGGCTTTGTTGCCTCGAAGATGTGGGTGGATCATTTTATGCGACACCACGTGCTGAATTGTCCATTTGGGTTGTCGGAATCGGAGGATCTAGATAATGAGGAGAAAGTGGATGTGATACTAAGAGCTCCTGCTGAAAAGAAGATGGGGAAGAAGGTGATGACGGAAGCTGAAAAAGCAGGAAAGACAAGTGGACGAGTGGATCATGTTTTAGTAGGAAGGAAGGATTCTCGTACGCCAGTGACAGCAAAAGTAACTTGCAAACCTGCAGGGAAGCGGAAACGTGACGGGAAAAGGAATGAACTGGCCAAGCAATTGACGGCACGAAGATAAAGGAATACTGCAGAAACAGTTGCAAGTATTGGACTAGCGTGAATTGGTATGCAGTATATCGTTTTCTGCATGTTTGCAATGAAGTTTGAAGGTACGGGGAGCAAAACGTGACTGTGATCAACACACGCTTTACTTGATTATAATGGCGTGCACGCATTCATTTTGTAGCAATTTCTAATACAACAACAAGATCAGGCTTCCTATCCTAGTACCTTGTAGCCATTTTTCGGTTGTCAATTAGCAACAAATTACCGATGGTTCGTAACGACGAAGCGAAGCAACAGAGTTTCTACGTGGTGTATATACCGGTAGATGCGAGTAAAGATCTCGAAGAGTGGACAGTGAAGCTACCTGTAGACAAGGAGGCACAACTTGGCTGTTTAACGGAACGACTACGTGAGCATTTCAAAAGTGGAAACACCATTGTGTCCAAGCAACAACAGGAAGAGACTTTTAAGCAGCAACTACTCACTCAATTGCCCAAGGGCGCTACACTTACCGATGAAATGTTGCAAATGATGCTCCAGATGGACAGTCTTGTGGACTCGATCCCGCTTGTGCTCAACACGCCCGATGTGAAGCATGTGGGTATCAACATGTACGTGGACGATAAAGGCACAGCTAAAGCTTTGCCGACAAATGTCCGTGCATCGGCTATTGCTCAAGCCTGTGGCAAGATGTTAGAAGTTAAGGGTGATGCATTTATTGGACGGGTATTTGATAATGGTGCGTTGCGTAAAGGGGAGAGGTGGGGTCAGGTTCATTGGCTGATTGGTTTTACTCCTTCCTTGTCGTAGATGACGATTTCGAGCGTATGGACTTCCGATTGAGTGACGTATCAGGTGATGCACCGTGGGTGCAGACGGCAAAGCTGCAAGCAGCTGCTGCAGCGGCAGGTAATGGAGGAGCAGCAGCGGGTGCTGCGCTTGCCCGTGCTAAGGCTCCGAGCAAGATGATGCTGCCTGGATCGATCCAGCGTATTTGTGGAGGTGATCGATGCTCAAAAAATGGCACGCTACGCTGCTCGCGATGCAAGGCGCAATTCTATTGCAGTCCAAAGTGCCAGAAAGCAGACTGGAAGCTGCATAAGCTCGGATGCACAAAGTAAGCGTACAAGTAGAAATAGCTGGAAAGAGAGGAAAACGATGTGCGCTACGTATGAAAGACGTACGTCATTTGATGACGATATAGAGATGAAACGCTGAGTTACTACTCAGGAAAGAATCGCGTTGTGACTGCCGTCGCGCAAATGTCTTCCGTTAAGCTCGGATAAACTCAGATCAGGCAAACCAGTCGCATTGATGTTTACAATTGACTGTCTCAATACGCCGCCAATTTCTCATGCGCCATCGGCCTTTAACACATCGCTCGGTCGTATCGTTCATAGCGGCAAAATACGGTCAATTTCTTCCTCAGATACACCAAGTAGATCAAGCTTCTTTCGCGCAGAAGCTTTTTCAAACAGCAGCTGAACCCGTTTAGACTCCAGCTCACATTCCAGTTTGGAGCGCTCCAGCTTGTATACTTCATGACGTTGCTTCTGCGCTTCCTTAACGCGTTCCAGAAGCGCCTCACGCTCAATCGTCATTAGCTCCTCGTTCGCCTCGTCCGACTTTTTCGTTGACGTTTCTTTAACGGTGCTCGGCTCCTCCTCCGAGACCTTTCGTTTTCGTGTAATAACCGTCGATTGTAGAGGCGCCTCGTTCTTAGCATTCGCACTCACTGCAGTCTTCGTTGCTTCATTCCTCGTAGGACGTACAGCAGCAACAGCTTTCGGAAGTCGTCCCCTCCTCTTTTTGGCAGGAGACGGAGTACTCGTTACATCCTCCAATCCAGTGTGCGGCTTTGCTACTTCCACAGCCGCAGACACAGTCGATTCTTTCGACCTACTTTTGTTCTTCTCTGACTCATCCGGTGTTATAGCCTTTTCTTTCCCAGAATCGTTCACAATCGAAGACACAACCCGACCATTGGTCTTCTTTTGCGGCTCAGCTAGTGTCGACGTTTTTTCTTTCCCAATGGCATTAGCTGTCGAAGATGAAAGCTGTTTTTTACCTGCATTTGACTTCTTTTGCAACTCAGCAGATGATAAAGCTCCTTTTTCAGCAACTCTAGCCGTCGACGAGAAGAGTCGATCTCTAAAAGTGGTCCTTTTCTGAGGCTCCGTCGACGTCGCTGTCTTCTTGTTCAAAGCTTGAATCACACTGTTCCCATTCTTTGTAGCTGTATCCACTGAATGATCACTGTTCTCTCCTTCTTCTTCATTTTCTTCACCTCTTTCCTCCTCCTCACTCTCCTCTTCACTCTCTTCATCTTCTTCCCCCTTCTTACCTTGTACCTCTCTCACTTCCACGTCCTCAAAACTGTCTCCATCCAGCTCAATAAGCTCTGCATTCCTCTTACTAAACGAGACGCCTCGAAATGCCGGGTCCAGTCTCTTAAACTGCGGACACACGTTCTCCACATGAACCTTCACTTCTTTTGAAGCCTTTCCACGCATATACGCATCATGCATTCCCGTCTCTAATAGCCACTGTTTTGCTGTAATGTATTGTTTCTCAATAGCGTCCAGTTTATAACGCACAAAAGGAGCTTGACGGTGTGCCAGTCCTTCCTCCTGCATAATCTCGACAACCTCACGAACGAGTGGACTGTGTGTTTCCATACGCCAGCGTTTCACATTTCCAGGCTTCGTGATCCATCTCAAAAGGACGTCCATAGTTGTAGGTCCTCCTGGACGCGCATTGTCCGCAAGAGACGACCGATACGATGAGCGAGGCTTCTTCTTGGACGGCATTTTCGTGATTTTTTAGACTTTTCGGTAAATGGAGGTTTTTATGAAACTCAGTTTTTCACAATTTATGAAAATTAGGACGAGTTAGCTATAGAGGCAGTATGCGATCAACTTCAGCAGGGTCGATGCCAGCACCCAAAAGTTTCTTACGAGCAAGAGCTTTCTCCATTGCTAATTGCACTTGTTTCGCTTGCAACTCACATGCCAACTTGGCACGTTCCAGTTGAAAAAGCTCGTCACGCTGATCTCGTTCCTGTTTTGCTCGTTCGATGAATGCCTCACGCTCAAGAGCTCGTGTAGCATTACTGTTTTCCTTAGCTCGCTTGTTTGTACGAAGAGAAAACGAGTCATCAGAGCTGCTGCGCTTCCGACTTGACTGTCGTGAATTGGCAAATGGGTGAGCATCTTCTTCCAAGTCAGCATCATCATCTTCTCCTTCGTCGCATTTCAAGTCGTGGTCGGATTTTTCTTCAAGGTCCGAAGCTGCCTTCAACTGTGTTGGAGGGACTTCCTCCTCGTCATCACCACCTTCATTCTCGCTTTCACTAGAGCTACTTTCCAACTTTTCTGTCTTTGCACCGCCTAGCTCAGGTTCCTCCTCCGCTTCCTCCTCCTCAATTTCGGCCATTTCTTCCACGTCATTCTTGTCTTTGTCGTCAACCTCAACTTCCTCATTGTCTTCTTCGTCAACTTCAATTAGCTCCGCTATCTCTTCTTCCTCGTCCTCGTCAACTTCGATTAACTCTGCTATCTCCTCTTGGTTTTCATCACCTTCTGCAGTGTCATCGGGTTGAGCTAGCTGGATTTGCTCTTCTCTGCCATCATCATCATCATCATCATCATCTTGCTCCTCTTCTCCTCTCACCCTCGTTTCTTCTGCACTGTCTACTTCCTCAGAGCTACTTTCTTCACATTCACTTCGCTGCTGCGTTGCTTTCAATCTGCGACTGACTGTTAAGTGAGTGTTGCCTTGTCTCCTCTCTTTCTCACTCTCTTTCACCTTATCCTTCACGACAGCAACACCACCCCGCCTTTCGTTTTCCAACGCATCACAAGCAATCTCATGCACTGCGTCTATAGCAGCATCTGCACCGCCATGAACAATAGTACTGCTCTGCTTCTTTTCTCCCTCCACCTCCTTGCTTCCATCACCAGCATCTTCTTTCTGCCCCTCATTAACACCATTCACTTTCTTTTCAGCAAACATCTCGCAATTTATGTCCTGTATATTCTCCTGAGCATGAAGACCAGTATATCGACCTTTCTCCACACTTTCCTTCCACTTTCCCGCAACACTCTTGCTCCCACCTCTAGCAGCAGGACCCACCGATATCGTTTCGTTACTCTTGTCACCAGCAGAAGCAGTAGTACTTGTCACCCCAGTAGCTGCGTCTGTCACCATTCTCTGGGTCACAATTCCTCCAAAAACCGGCACAAGCTCTCTATATAATGGACATAACTTGAGCACTTCCGTGACAACCTCTTGGTCTGCTTCCCCTCGCTGGAATGCGTCCGATTGGCCCTTCATGCTTAAGTACGCATCAGCAGAAACAAATTTCTTCTCCAAGGTCCAAATCTTTGTCCGTATGTCGCTTGCTTCTCGGTGTGAAATGCCGTTCTTCTTTAGTAACGTGATGATCTCACGACACATCGCCATTTGCTTCTCTTGACGCCAGCGTTTGACATTCCCAGGTGTCGTGAGCCACGCCAAAAGAACGTCTAAAGATGAAGCAGATCCAGCACTTACTCGATCGGAATCCCATGGAGTGACCTTGCGACGCCCTTGGGTATGGCCGCCGTCCTTTGTCACCTTTTTATTGGCCTTCCGTGTCATTTTAACCACAATCACTGGTATTTTTATGAACAAATAACAATTAGTTTAAAAGGGTTCATATTAAATACGAAAGCTCTAATCGGTACTACATCAGGACAAACCGGTAACTATGTTTATGCTCTCGTTAAAACAGTAGTTTAACACAATTGTCCTTACGATTATTTGCATTAAAGTTGAAAGGGATGCTAGCAAATTACTTGTACAATGCATTTCTCGATAAAGAAGACAGGGCAGTCACAGACATTGCTGTTGCTCCCATTGAAGGCGTCTTAATGACGTCCAGCTGTTCCAGAAATCACAAGAATTGCAATCCTTGTGGGAAGGCTATTAGTATCCTTCCTTTAAGTTGGTTGGTGCGCCTCATCATAGGAAGCAAGTAAGATATGTAGTTTCAAGGGACACAAGCGACATTTTGGAAACCGTAGATTGATCTTGAGAAGGTAGTTACCATCAATTCACAACACTAATATCTATTTCCTTTTTCATTTCCAACCTGCGCGGCAGACCTTGTAATCCTACAGGTTATAAGCCCACGTTCTGCAAACTTGTCGTCGGTATAACAAACGTACACTACAAGAACCAAGCCGCTCATGCGAAAAAGCGATAGAAAAGAATGCGTCACCCCCTCCCCCCCCCCCCCCCCCGAGCACAAGAATGATGAAGATGTCACTGTGCTCGCGCTTCCCCAGAAGATGAGCGCAAGGCTCGACATTCTGGGGCGAATGATATCGGCCCGCCCTATCATGAGCTCACGTGATGGTCAAGCCTCCGTCCAGATGATCTGGGAATATCGTGCATATCATCCAAACTCCAGCGACTTCCGAGAAGTTGCTTGGAAGGATGGATTACTTGGACCTTCCCGGTTGACGCTGCAAGATTTACACCACGGTCAACATGGTCAGGCTGGTGCAAATCAATGTGTCCGAGGCAGTCTCCTTGCAATAGCAATGACAATATGTCCAGCCACATCAAGGAATCGATGAAGAGTGAGACCAGCGCGGCATCGCTCAATTTGGTGCGGCCTGGATTGCTGTCCCCGACAACTAGAGGTCTAGACTTATGATCCAGCGATTTACGGGCAGAAACCTTTGCGTTAGAATGGGAAGCGGCTTTGAGCTTCAAAATCTACCCCAGTCCACCTAGAAGCGTACAACTTGCACAACCTGCAGCTACAAAAGGCGGAGAAGGCTGTATACACGGAATGGAAGTACCCCCCTCCGTGTTGATCGTCTGTATTCCAGTGGAAAGTCGGGATCACATCAGCAATATTCTGTGAGGGCGATTCACGTAGAAAATGAAGCAGTAGCCCAAACCCGGGTCTTAGTGAATCATACGGTGAAGTGAATGTCAGATACTCTCAACTGTTTCATGTCATAAACTGTCTGTCATACAAACTGGCATGTCATACGCCCCCCATGAAGCACTTCTCTTAGCACGGAAAGATGCGTCGAATGCTAACTCGTTCAGTCGATCATTGTTGTCGATTGTGACGGTTCCATTGTTGTGAACAGTGCGGATCAAATATGGTCCTCGCGAAACTGCATGTGATTTTTGCGCGAAAGTTTCTGGGAACACGGAGCATGATGTGATCGCCGGAGTTGTAAAAGTGTTTCAATCATTTGCGGTAATCGCGAGTATTGGCTGCTAAGATCGCTTCAAACCGTCGCTTGGATAGATAGATCCAATTAGCTTCGTAAAGCCGACGTGATATCATGTCTTGTCCGAAAATCAGCTGGCCTGGCGATGCAAATTTATGGTCCGTATGGACCACCACTGGAAATCTTAGAAGCATTGTTCGATATTCCCGGAGTGTCTCGACAATCGAAAGCAATTCTAGTTTCATCGTTGTATAGTTAAGCTAGTGCTTATTGAGTGCACGAGAGTAACATGCGATGATCTTGTGATCTTTCTTGATAATGCCACTAAGTTTTTTCCACTGGCATCGGCATACAAATGAAATGGTTTCGTAAAGTCAGGAAAGGATAGGAGAACTTCCTCCACAAATGCCCTTTGTATATCCCGAAATGCCTTCGTATCACTTGGAAGCCATGTGAAAGGAACCTTTGCACTTGTCAATCGATGAAATGGCTGGCACAATGCGGTTTTGTTTGGCACAATGTCACGGTAATAGTTAATCATGCCCAAAAATCTTCGAAGATCTTTTCTCTTTTGCGGTATCGCAAGATGCTTGATTGCTTGAATCTTTTTTTCTTGCGGTTTCATTCCGTCCGCAGTCAGTGTATAGCCCAGGTAATCTACTTCCAGTCGTAAAAGATGACATTTCTTTCCATTTAATGTGACTCCATTTTGGTCAAGTCGTTCGAACACCACCCGAAGATGCTCTAAGTTTTCCATTTTATTACGAAATTTATGTAGCAGATCGTCCAAATATGCAACGACAAGTTCCAGATCGCCAAAAATCTTTTCCATGCAGGCTCGATATTCGTCAGGTGCGGTAGAAATTACCATTGGGAGACGCTTGCATTGATACTTCCCAAATGGTAGACAAAAAGCAGTAAGCGGCCGGCTTTCTTTATCCAATTGTATAGCGTAGTACCTCATGTTGGCATCCAGTGAGTTATGCATCGTGCATTTGCAAGACGTAGCAGAATCTCGCGGATTCGAGGAACGAAGTACGAAGCCAATGATTTAGCACTCGATAGTCAATTAGAAGTCGCAGTGAATCATTCAGTTTCGGCACAAAAAAGGCTGGACTAGCCATTTCAGAATTGTAAATTTGTTCCAGTACATCCAGCTTAATCAAACGCTGGATCTCTGCCTTTGCTGCATTCTCGAGGCTGCGTGGGATCGGATAAGGCTTGGCGTGTACTAGTTTATACTCAGGTTACAGTGGTCACACGTAATCAGCTAGCCGCATGCATCCCAAATGACCGTCATATGAATGGCGTTTCTTCTCGAGCCGATCCAAATACTGCCTCGAGACGTCGGTATCGAGATGTTCTGGAAGCAAGTATAAACCCTATCTTTGAAGATCAAATAGTAATTATTTATTAGGTCTTTTGGATCAACAGATGAATCCGCTAGCTCTTTATACTCCTCCATACACTCTGTGTCGGCTAGTTGGGGCGGTGAGTTGATGATCTTTCCAGTGTTAATTTTTATACACTGATCTTCCCATTGTACTGTCCGGTCTCGGAAACTTATCGTAATTCCCAGCGCTTGCAGAAGATCCCGTCCAATGACCATAGTGTCTTTGCTGGCCTCAACAACTTGGAAGCGGTGCGTGATGACCGATTCAGGCTTTAATTGCGTAAAGCGAAAATGGGCGACTATGGTCCCACTGCTAGCCACCCCTTGGACTATGGTTTCAAGCACCGTACCCGGCTTTGAAACCACCTTATCTCCGTATCTCGCGCTAGCGTCCACAAAAGACTTATTGAAAATACTTCTTGAGACGCCCGTGTCCAGCAGCGCACTAAAGCGGTTCTTGTCATGTCGTAGCTGGGCTGTGATGCGAAGCGGTGCTGTTGTTATCTTCAGTGTATGTTGAACTAGTCCAATAAGTTTGCACTCGTCGTCACTGATTGAGTCTTCTTCATTGGATATCATTGGGTATTCATCTTCTTCAAATTTCTCTTCCATTTGCGGGTGCTCCTCTTTTTTATTTTTGAGTGCAAAGCAATCGCTAGTATTATGCGATTGTGTCTTGTGATGGGATCACCACTTATCTCCTTCGGAGTTCACCGTGTACTTTGTCCCTTGATTATTGTTGTTGGGTTGGCTAGTCAATTTTTCTTGCGTCTCCTGCGTGGCCCTTGTTGCGAACGCATTTGTATCTATAGCCTTCTTGTGAAGATGTCCCCTTGTGTAATCTTTCTTGTTTCTCAAGGCGTGAAAAGTAAAGTATTATCTCGTTGAGCTTATCAGGGATGACACCCGTCGCTGTCAGCTTATCTTGCCATGATATCGCCATCCTGCGCTTGAAGTAGCGACGCATATTGCACATATGGTATTACCTCTGCGTCCTGCGGAAGCTTAGGTAATAAACGAATGTTTTCACGAAAACGCTGCGAAAACTTCAGTACACTTTCATCCCGTCTCTTTGTCATGCCCCATAATTCATTGTTCAGATCTTCACTGAAATCTTATGGTACTGAGCGCAGTTCCACAGCGGTAATGAAATGGTCAAAAGTCCAACTATTGGTTCTTGCTTCGATCACCAGAAGGTTTACGTCGTATGCGAGGTCCCCCTCAATCAGAGCTATAAGATTACGGCTCTTTTGCTCATCATCCCACTCTTTCTTCTTGGCAAGGCTTTGGAAGTCACAACCCCACTTGCGATAGCTCCGCGGACTTTCCCCTTTAAGCTTGTTCATTTTAACTTACATGATTTCGGCCTATATTCCGTCTTGGGCTGGCGTGATCACCATCGTATAAGTGACGAAGTCGTTTGTGTCGTATTTGCCCATGATTATACCTTTATTCTCACGGGTTTGATTCTTTTGCGTCCGATGCAGATTCACATTTGATGAAGTTCACTGAACTGATCTTCACGTCTCGGCTGCAATCGGCAACGGTCGCAGGGGAGCATGCGACGATGTGATGGCTTCACACGCTGACAAATTTCGCACGTTCTAATTCAGATGCGTACCCACTGACATGTGGGGCCAAAAGTTGTCTAGAGACACAGCAGCGAAAAACTTTCGTGGCCTAAATGAACTCCAGCAGGGGCATCGTGATACTCGTGGATGATCCTAGAACGCATATTTAAGTCGTTGGTGATCACCTTGCGAGGAGAATCGGATAGATTATTGCTGTACAGAAGCAAATCTCCGTCTGAACTGTATTGATAAATGCGATTACGGTTGGCTCGTGATAAAGCTCCCAGTGCGACATCGCTGGGAGCACGCATAAAGTCCGCATAATCTGAATCGATCTTGTACGATGGCGATGTCGACTTCTCGAAACCATCAATTCGGCAACAATCGATCTTAATCTTCCTATGAGTAGGAGGAGATTTACTTTTTCACGGCCTCATTCCTTGAAGGTAGCGAGGGAGGTTAATCTTGCCGGCTGGATTCGGCGAGATCGCGTGCCATAAACTTATGTATGGCGAGACGTTGGGCACTAGAGGTCGCTGGTTTCATCAGCGACGCGACGAATGTCTCTCCCGATATCGCCACGAGGCAATTAAGGGCATCCCACTCAACAATCGCAATATGGGCAAAGGCAGCGTGCTCCAGAATAAATTTGGAGCGTCAAAGTACAACGATTCTTTCATCCCAGACTCGGGCATAGGAAAGACTACAAAGTGCTACCAGGTGTAACGGGGCTAAAACGTAACGTCACTAGCTCACATGTGCGCTTGAGGAAGACTCAAGCCCAAGTATTAGGTATTAATTAAATTTAACTCTCGTAATAAATACGACAGTGTTTCCGCCTTTCGGGAACCACACTTTCAGATCAATTTATCATTGGGCCATATTGGGTCTTTAGGCCCCAATAATTAAAAATAATAAATGGCCACGCTGTGCCTGCTATTCGGGCACAGCACTTGCCTACAAATGTTATTGATTAATTCTGTTAATGTTATATATGCAATGTGGCCCATTACAATCTAAGTATACTTGTAAACGTCCTGTCATTTCCTCGCCATAACTTGATATCGCGTCCGAGTGAGTGAGTGAGAAGGTGAGGTATATTTAAGAAAGATATTGCGTCCGATAGCTCCGTTCCCACCACCCTTACCACGAATAATCATAGCAATGACTGGGTGCGACGCTTAACCCGTCGACGCACTGAACCCAACGAATGGTGGCGTGCAAGTGTCAATATGGTCCAAGTTTGCGACTTGTCCAAATAGCACACTTTATGGAAGCTGTGACCGGCTCTTACCAAGTACACTGGCACAATAAAATTTAAGCCGTGATCAAATCGATGCAAATTCGTGATGTATTTTATCATGCCAAACTTCGGAATAAAATTACAATCGGCACCAAATATGTATTTAAAACCAAGCGCAACGCCGATAAATCGATCTCTAAGTACAAAGCTTGGCTTGTCGCTGAGTAATTTCGTTGAAAGTATCGCATTGACTAGACGAAACTTGTGCCACGGTCGTTAAGTACGTCACTTTTCGCATGATGATTGCGTTGGCTACATCTCTCAGTGGATAATCGACCAGCGTGGCGTGGTCACAATTTTTTGTACGGTAAATTGAGAAAAACTAGTCTATATTTCAATTCCGGACGGTATGGAGATTGAGCCAAAACTCGACTGTTTAAAGCTCCACAAGTCTATTCACAGACTCAAGCAAGCGTCTCGAGCGTGGAATGAGACATTTGATGATCACGTGCGATAAATTGCCATCCACGTATCCGAGCTCTACCCGTATATGTAAATCACAAACTTTGACGAGCACTGCGTATTGCATTGACGACGTGATAATCAATGAAGGTTTAGTGGACGTGATACGTCGAGTAAAGGACAACTTAATATCCGATTTAAAATGACTAATAGTAAGCATGCAAATTTGTTTTCGGTATTGAGCTGATTGAACATAAGGACGGTGTGACTTTGTATCAGCAACGATACATAAAGGACATTCAAATCGATGTGGAATGGAATGCTGCAAGCCTGTTTCTAATCCGGTTGACATCAGTACTAAAATGTTAAAGGTCGATATCAAAGCCGTCTACAATCAATGAGCCTTACCGCAAAGCTGTCGGTGCACTTATGCACTTGATGTAACAGGGTTACACGACGGTTGTAACATCATTCCGAAAGTTTACGGTTGAAGTTTCCTTTTATTGCATATAATGCATTTTGATACTTCTCTAAAAAGGGGTATTAAGTATGAACGTTAAAGATACGGTATTCGGTAATACCGTATCTTATCGATTATATTCGATAATCGATAACGCTGTACTAAGTACATTATATACAGATGTTTAGACGATACGTCGTCCAATAGCAAAGTCTGCATATAATAATTACTATTATAGTAATTAATCTATTGTAGAAAACTTAAAGTAGGACTATTCATAAAATCTTAATGCATAAATGAAATCAGTTCTCCTTTTGAGTTAAAAAACGCAAGTCTCTCTGACTTGTTCTCTTGTGTACTTTGTGCGTTGGTTCTATGAACCTTAAGCTTCTAGCTTGTTCTTGCACTTTGTGCGCTGGTTCTCTGAACCTTATGCGTATTGCTTGTAGACTAGAAGTCCCTCCTAGTTCCTTAGAATAGGGTGACTTCTAAGTCCTTTAAGTAGTTCCTTAGAGCTAGATGGCTTATAGCCGTAGATTAATTTAGTTCTATAGAACTAAGAGGCTTTCAGCCTAATGTTTTCCTCTGGCTAGGGAGCTGTGTAGCTCCGCTACACAGGGTTTTCCTAATGTTTTACAAGTATTATCGCGGGCGAGAAAGCGATGAAGCAATTAGCTTCATTCGTTGTTTTGTTGGAATACCAGTAGGATCCACAATTTGCATCAGATACCAGTACCTTCGATAGATATCACCCCGAAGCTTTATGTAAGGTGAATAATTAATCACTAAAGCTTTCTTTCAAGAGATGTCCACCTCTTTCTCTAATTATAAATGCTCCCACGCAGTTCAGGCAAAAATGCAGGTCATCATGAATTGACGCATACAATACTATTCTTAGCTGCTACTGCACTGTAGCCATTTCAGCTTCCAAATGAAATGGCTACAGTTCATGGTGCACCCCATATATTCAGTTCTTATAAAGAGAGATCCCATTTAACCATGAAGCTGGCCAAAGCGGCAGCCCAACAGCTTAAGGGCGTCGTCATTGAGTACGACGTATTATGCAGCACTCTATTAGGTAAATCTGCCGCCGAGCAAAAGCGTCGTCGACTTGCAGCAGAGAAGATTCGGCAGCAGAAGGAGCAGCACTTTGGTTCGTCGCTCTTTGGTGCCACCTCAGTCCAGTCGATGCTGGTGAGTGACGTTCGTGGACTGCTCAAGAACCTGAATGAAGACTCTACGGGTAAGCCGTGGGTGGTCAAAGAGCGACTGCAAAGTACATTGCAAGGGTTACCGAATCAAAGTATGTTGTGTCGAACGATTGCAACAGGATAACAAGGTGATTGAAGACTAAGTGAATGGGTTTATGCAGTTCTAGAACGTGTTATGGGATCAGCAGATACGAAAAAAGATGTTGCAGGTAAGAGTGAGGATGAAATTTACTTGGAGAAGCAGCTGCAGTCGGCGTCGGAGGAGTTGGCGAGGGTGAAGCAGCAAAAGAGAGACGAGAAATTAGAACGGGACGAGTGGAGTAAGAAAGGTTTTGGAATCAAGAGTGGTAGTCAAGCCAATTCATTACGAGACAAGTATATGGACAAGATCAAGAAATTAAAGGAGAAGAAACAACATGAAGGAAGCAGGATAGGATTGAAAGAAGTCGTGGGGACGACTACGTCGGCAGGACTGTCCACGTGGGTTGTGAATGAAGGAGCGAACGAAGTTTTGGTAAGTTTTGCTGGAAGGTTGGGGAGTATAGCTGCTCGGGTGATACGTGGTAGCTTCATATTCATTTGTGTGTTGCTACTGATAGAGCTATTCGGATCTACGAGGGTTGTTGAAGGCGGTGATTCCACCAAGAAATCCACAGCAGGATGTACGTACAAGCATTGGACTTTTCAACGTCATTGTATGCAATGCTGACTGCTGGATTCTATTGCGATCTCGAATATACACAGGACGAGTATAAATTCTTTTTGAAAGAGGTAATCTCTTTGTGGAAACAGCTACTCGTGATACTACTGGTGAATGAATCACTAAGACACCGGCATTTTTGACTTTGTCATATGTAAACATGATAGATGGAGGGCCAGTTTGACATGTTTCTGCCTGAGAAAGAGCAGGAGAAGTTTCCAAATCCGAAGCCGATTCTTCACATTTGCGAGGAGTTTGGCTTGAAGCCATCGGATGTTTTGGTGCTCGCTCGACATGCACCCACCATTAAAGCCGCCAAGTACGTGCTTTTGATTGTATATTGCCTCGATTTTAATGTACTTGCTGATCTTCATTTTTTAATTCCTGTTTTTGCACTAACAGAGATGCAGGAACGCATGTATGCCACTATATGCCCGAAGATAAGGCTATTCCGAATCACACGGCGCATTACCATTTGATACACCTGAGAGAGTACCAGCATCTGATTGAGGACCTAAACGGTGTATCCTATCGAGACAAAATTAACATGGGCTCAATTGAATTTTAATTATAAAACGGACTATGTCAATTTAGTGAAGATGTATCCATCTCCATCCGTACTTATGTAACCCAACCGTTGATTTTGTTATTCACACGTGGTCCACATGAAGATTTTGATTCGCACTCGGAACAATCCCAAAAAAACGTAAGCAAGTGTCGTCTGTCGTTCCGCTGAAACGCTCGTATCTTCCGTCCTGCTGTTCGTCATTCCTTGCACTCTTTTTCCCATCCTCATCCTTTAAATTCTCTATCTTGTTGTCCAATTCGCACGCTCCAGTCGTCTCTATAAGCCAAGAAATTGCCCTTAACGGAAGGAAGACATGGCGTACAATTACGTAGCCACCGCTCAAAAGCCCACGAGTGTCACACATTCACTCACTGCTGTATTTACAGGCAGTAATGATACAAACCTGCTTGTGGCCAAAAGTACGCGCTTCGAGGTGCATCTATTGACGCCTGAGGGGCTCCAACCCCAACACGATATCAATCTGTACGGCCGTATCGCCATCTTTGAGGTGTTCCGAGTCGCCAACGAGTCTCAAGACTGGCTCTTTATTGTCACACAACGCTTTCAGTTCTGTGTATTGGCTTATGATGCAGCCACACAACAGATACTGACCAAAGCTCATGGTAATATTCGTGATTCAATCGGTCGCAGTAGTGAGATTGTTACCAGTGGAAACATTGACCCGGAAGGGCGTCTCATTGGAATGAATCTGTATGAAGGTTACTTCAAGATCATCCCCGTTGACAGTGGCAAGGGGATACTCAAAGATACATTCAATATCCGTCTTGATGAGTTGCGTGTCATTGATATCAAGTTTTTACATGGGTACAATAAACCAACCATCTGTGTCTTGTACGAAGACTACAAGGCTGCAAGACATATAAAGACGTACCATATTTTGCTAAAGGAAAAGGACTTTGCTGAAGGACCTTGGAGTCAGTCAAACGTCGAGGCGGGAGCGAGTTTACTCATCCCCGTGCCGGCTCCGACGGGTGGAGTACTCATTGTATCCAACCAGACGATCGTGTACCATAATGGAAACACATTTCATGCGATTCCAATGCAAAGCACGGTTATTCAGGTCTATGGAGCGGTGGATAAGGATGGCTCGAGGTTCTTATTGGCGGATCAGTATGGTACGCTGTCGGTGGTAGCGTTGCAACTTACTGGAAAGGAGGTGACTGGCGTGCATCTGGAAGTGCTGGGAGAAACCAGCATCGCATCCTGCTTATCGTATCTTGATAATGGTGTGGTGTTCATTGGAAGTACGTTCGGCGATTCGCAGCTGATTAAACTGAATGCCGACCGGGACGAGCACGGTTCCTACGTTGAAGTCCTGGATACTTATGTCAACGTTGGTCCGATCATCGATTTTTGCGTAATGGACCTTGATCGGCAAGGCCAGGGCCAACTTGTGACTTGCAGTGGTGCGGACAAAGATGGAACGCTACGTGTAATTCGCAATGGCATCGGGATCAACGAGCAAGCGAACGCAGAACTGCCTGGTATCAAAGGCATGTGGTCGCTTCGCGAGGCGTTCGCTGCAGAGCATGACAAGTATCTACTGCAGAGCTACGTGAACGAGATACGCATTCTTGCGATCGATGACGAGGATGATATGGAAGAGAAAGAAATCTCGGCATTTGCTAATGTGAAGACTTTGTTCTGCCGAAATATGTATGGCGACATGTGGCTTCAAGCGACAGAGTCAGAAGTGCGACTTATTAGCTGCAGTACTTTGTCGCTGAGCTCGACGTGGTCACCGCCCTCGGGATCACGAATTACTGTCGTTGCTGCAAACCCCACCCAAGTAGTGTGTGCTACATCGGGTGGTGTGCTTGTGTATTTGGAGGTTGAGAACGGGAAGGCTATCGTAAAAAAAAGTGTCAAGATGGAGCACGAAATAGCATGCGTGGATATTACACCGCGTGCTCATAGTAATGCAGGAGATGGAGATGTTGTCATGTCGGGCTCGCCAACTCACTGGGACATGGTTGCTCTTCGCAGCTCAATTTGTGTAGTCGGGCTGTGGACAAATTTCTCGGTGTCTGTCCTAAAACTACCAACACTTGAAAGGCTGACTACTGAACCACTTGGGACTGACCTGCTTCCACGATCAGTACTCTGTAATACATTTGAAGGAAAGGATTACCTACTCGTTGGACTTGGCGACGGCAGTCTTATGAACTACGAGCTGAACGTCGAGCAAGGAAAACTTGGAATACGAAAGCGAGTATCACTGGGCTCGCAGCCTCTCTCCCTGTCAACATTCCGATCCAAGAACATGACGCACGTGTTTGCAGCATGTGATCGTCCAACTGTCATCTACTCCAATAACAATAAGCTCCTATACTCCAACATCAACTCGAAGGAAGTGAATGTGATGTGCCCGTTCAACTCGGAATCCTTCCCAGAGTGTCTTGCGCTTTCATCCGAAACCGAACTGACGATCGGTACAGTCGATGACATTCAGAAGCTGCATATTCAAACGTTCCATTTGAACGAGTGGGCACGTCGAATTGCCCACAACGCCGAATCACACACACTTGGTGTGCTTACTGTAAACTTCACGGTTGACGATACTGGTGAAGAGGTGGATCAGGGCTTTGTGCGTTTGTTTGACGACCAAACTTTCGAAGTACTCCACTCGCATCGGCTAGATCCGTTCGAGACTCCATGTTCGGTGGTCGTATGTCCTTTTGCAGGGGATTCCACGAGTGCGTCGTACTTTGTAGTTGGAACCGCTTATGTGCACGAAGAAGAGGCTGAGCCGCATCAAGGTCGTATTTTGGTATTTGATGTCACGGGCATCCACGGTGAGCGGAAACTGCAGTTGGTTGCCGAAAAGGAGGTAAAGGGTGCGGTTTACTGTCTGAATGCTTTCAATGGCAAGGTGCTGGCGGGTGTTAACAGCAAGGCACAGTTGTACAAATGGAGCGAAAACACTGACAATGAGAAGGAACTGGTATCCGAATGTGGCCACTACGGCCACACCTTGGTCCTTTACATGGAGTCACGAGGCGACTTTATCGTGGTGGGCGATTTGATGAAGTCAATTTCTTTGTTGAGCTACAAGCAGCTAGATGGCACAATTGAGGAGATTGCGAGGGATCTGAACTCAAATTGGATGTCAGCTGTAGGCATTATCGACGACGATACGTACATCGGCAGTGAAACGGATTTCAACTTATTTACTGTGCAACGCAACAGTGGCGCAGCGTCCGATGAAGAGCGCGGTCGCTTAGAGACGGTCGGTGAGTTCCACTTGGGTGAGTTTGTCAATCGTTTCAGATACGGATCGTTGGTCATGCAGAACAATGCTACGTCGGCACAAGCACTCGCTGCCAGCACTTCAACAGGCCCCAGTGACATGGTTGACGTGGATAAATCAGCACCTGGTGTCTTAGCTGTCCAAAATCAATCAATGCTGTTCGGAACTGTCAGCGGTATGATTGGCGTCATTTTTTCGATTAGCAAAGACCAGCACGCATTCCTGCTTCGTGTTCAACAAGCGCTCACGGAAGTCGTAAAGGGCGTTGGCGGTTTCTCCCACAAAGAGTGGCGCACGTTTGAGAACCGGCGATCAGCGTCGGAAGCACGCAACTTCATTGATGGAGATTTGGTAGAAAGTTTTTTAGACTTACCGAAGCCCCAGATGATAAAGGTGGTGGAAAAACTCAACAACGATGGAATGCTGGATGGGACGGACCAATATACGGTGGAGGATTTGACGTTGCGGATTGAAGAGCTCGCCCAACTGCACTAATTCAAACGAACGAACTGCACGAAGTGAACAGAAGAAAAAAAGTTAGAGGCCTAAACATCCGTGGATGGTGTGTGTCGAACTATGACGTGGTCATATTGGAGTCTCAATTTTACACTCGCTTTGATGCTTGATGATGTTTGTTATCTTCTTAAGACGATATTTGGTACGACTCCAGTCAAAAGTCAAAGTGGCAGTAATCCCTGCGACACGACGTTTCGTGGGAATGATGGTTTAATATCGTATACTCTATGAAACCATCATTCCTACGCTGGGTACTGAAGAGTGACGAACGGCGTCACGTCTATCTAATAATCTGTTCCGGTCATGTTATTATGGTCGGTAAAAGTTCAGTAGCAGGCGTCGCTCTTGAGTCCGGATAGATCTTACCATCACGGAAAGTTTCAGGTACTAGCTAGTATTTCGCGTCCCCATTGGATTCAATATGATCGATCGACTGCAGTCATCATGGCCACATCTTCTTGGCTTATCCTCAGAAAATGATTGGACCGAGGTGCTTCTCTTTTCTTTGATGAGACGATACCAATCTCGCTTGGAATAGATAGAGATTGGATAGGCTTTTTTACATGACGTCGTAAGTCACTATGTAGTACCTAGTGTCGGAATGATGGTTTAAAGCGTATGCTGCATGTCCAGCCGCTTCATGATCCTTCATCACGAGACGTCACTTGGCTATAAAAAAAGATTGGCGGCTTCATTTTCAAACCGTCCAAGTGGAGCACAGAGCGTCAATCGGATCAACTACAATTGCAAACAATGGGTCATGAACTTGTAAGTCCTCACTGTCCATCCTTGTCATTTGCAATGCTAAATTCAAGTCGCAACATGTACGACGCAGCATCCACGGTCACCGCCAGTCCAGTCAATGCCGAGACTTTTTGCAATAGTCATTCTGGATTCTATGAAATGGCGTTCTCCCCATTGTCAACCATTCAAGAACAAGAATCTTTTTTTGCTCACCGATCACGTCGCACTGTAGCTCTTCTAGTCAACTACTTCACTGCCGGACTATTCCATGGCGTCGTGCCAGCTTTGGTGTACCCGTTGTTTAAGATTCGTCTTGGATTACAGGGCTACCAAGCTAATGCAGCACAGACACTGCTAGGTTGTGCTTGGCATGGCAAAATATTGTTGTGTCTGCTTACAGACTGTGTGCCAATATTTGGCCGCAGACGCACCCCGTACCTCTACGTGGGGTGGATATTGGTGTTGATGATCTTCGGATCATTGCTAATACTTGATCCAGCTTTGACCATGGATAGTAGTGATGTCATTGACGCACCAACGCTCATTTTCGTGATTGCTGCAGCCTCTGTGGGATATTTACTAGTTGATGCGGCTTGTGATGGTATCATGGTGGAAACGGTGCATTGGGATAGCCAAATTAAAGAGCAAGGTCTTGTTCATTCTTCGAGTCTTTCACAGAGCACTGTGCATGCTGTAAGATTCATTGCCGAACTTTTTGGAACACTTCTTATCGCCGTTGGAATGAACTCGGAGAAGTATAAAGGCGGGTTCTCATTTGAGCTCTCGCTGCAAGCGCTCTTCGTGGTTTTGCTTTCCGTTGCTTTAGTTGCACTGGGTTCTACCGTGTGGGGGTTTACTGAGACGCGTGAGATGCGTGATGCTGAAGCGGAAGCTATGGACGCAAATGGTGCTGTTGAAATGCCGAATTTACAAGCAAAGCTGGGTGAGTTTTGGCGCATCATGCAGCAGCATGCAACGTGGCAAATTGCTGGCTTTGGCTTTCTGCAAAAGCTGTGTCTCTCTTTTGGCATGGATTCGGCCCCACCTTCCCAAGCAATGCACGAATTCTGGTTGCACACTGATCCTTTCACGAAGAATCTTTTTCTTGCATTTTCAAACGGTGTCGTGTGCGTCGCAGCTTCTATCTTTGTCCATCGCTGTCTTTTGTTCTCGAGTTGGCATTCATCGTTACTTATTGCACTACTCGGTGGACTCGTTGTTGGGTTTCCCATTGTAATGATGGTCGTATTCAACGTATGGCGCAGCAAGATTTTCTTCCTAATTGCTACCACGATCACTGGATTCTCGGACTGCATTGCCATGGTGGTGCGAATGCTCGTGGTCGTCGAAATTGCTGAGCCAGGTTTTGAAAGCAGTACGTATGGACTCGTAACTTCGGTGTACAACCTCGCAGACCCTGTAGCCACTGCACTGAGCAATGCGATCGGCACCCATTTTCAAGTCTTTGACAAGAATATTGAGCAAGACTCGGACGACGTACGAACGCGAGTTGGGATACTTTTCGCTGCGCTTTTTAGTATCCGAGCTTTGGTAGGACTGGGCACGTTACCTTTGGTACCTCCACAACAATGTGTTGCTCGCGAGTTGAAAGCTCGAGGAGAATCCAGTAAATGCAAGACAATAGTGGTGTTTTCGACTATAGGTATCACCTTCTTTGCAGCTCTTGCTGCCAATTTGTTATCCGTGTTCCACGGAACACATTGCCTAGAGTTTGCTGGTGGTATGGGCTGCTAATGTACGTATTCCTCTAATTACTCTAGCTGTCCATGTACATTGATTGACACATTTGCAACACGTACAACAAGATGAATCCCAGAGCAATTGATGTTTGCTAATAACCTTGTCAAACTGCATTAGTGCTTCCAAAGAATTGAAATCGATTGATTTCTTGAACCATATACCAGTGAAGATGTTGATGCTTGTGCTGCAAAGTGACAACACACAGACACGTAAACACGCTTGTATTCAGTCAAATTACCTCCTGCCCAACAGCATTTCCCAGCACCTTTTGTTTCAGGTAACAATCAGACTGACAACATCTTGTTCAAAAGGTTCAAAAAAGGTGATCTCGATATCAACATCGTTACCAATAACCTCTCAAGCTTCGAGACTCTCCCTTTTGTTGCTAATTCACATGATCAATCTCTGCAACGTCGACTTCAGCTTCCATCGTATCTTTACTTTCCGGTCGGTCTGCAAACCGAAATCCAAGATCAATCTCCTCGTCCCCACGTAAGAAATCACCAAAGAAACCGGCAAAACATTTCCCCTCAGGAGCCTCGACAGCTTTACACAATTCCCCATGTTTAATGTATCCAAATCGATCCGAAGTTCGTTCGTTCGTTACAAATTGAATCGCATGAATCTCTCGACGGACTCGGAACAAATGAACCTTCAGAATGACCTCATTGTCTCCTAATTCAAACCATAGTCTCTCCTTCATCTCGTCCTTCTCTTTTGGCAAATACAAGCCTTCCACCTTCACTAACACGCCGTCCGAGATATCAATTCCTACACGTTGTATCTTCAAGTCCAGAGCCAAAGATTCAAGTCCCCATTTTTCCTTCGAGCCAACACGTCCCGTTGATTTGTACAGCAGCATCTTAGTGTCCTCATCCAGTACAATTGATCCTTCGATCGACATGGTATCGTCCTCTTCATGATCTAAATCTGTATCACCAATTGCATCTTCATCAAAGAGAATCTCGGGCGTCTTGTCTTCTAAAAGTGCAGTATGAATACTATCCCGCGTTCTTCTCTCTCCATCCAGCAATGGCAGGCCATCGTCGTAACAAGCACTCATTGTACTGACTTTAGTTATTCTTTCTAAATTGGAAACTGACATGGGGACTCAAATTAATGTGTCTCGTTTGTATCAAATAAGAAAATGGGTCCAGTTGGTGAAGCCATCATCTCATCGTAAGACCAGGCCCATCTGTTTTTTGTCACCCATAAGTTGGACCTTATGTGGACCACGTGTAGAAACCGGTTCGTACAATATTACAATACGAAACTTTAAATTTTGTCATAAGAAGTTGAAAAAGTAGCATCATGACGGACGTGGAAGCAAATGATACGATTCATCCGCATTTTCATGCCCTGTACATGACCAAAATGATGGAAAAGATTCGTTTGCATCACAAGACACCGCAAGCTGTTGCTGGTGAGCTTGAGACGGCTCTGGTCGGTTGTTTTTAGTTAAAAAATACATGTCAATTTGTGCATCTTTTCTTACTAAAAAGTAGTTTATTGATACGATAATAGCAACATTTGCAGCTTTTGCAGCAAGAAGTGGTTACAAAACAGGCGAAACAGAATTTACTGGACAGATTGGCGCAGGTGGAGACGTCAGAGGCGTTACAGAAGCTGGCGACGGCGAGGAAGATACAGGTGGAAGTTGGTTTCGAGCAAGAGAAGAAGGAATTGCAAATTGCAGTGCAAGAGCGTAAACATGCTCTTCAATTGGTGGAGAGACTAGCAAATGAGGTGGAGCATGAAAAGCATCACGTGATGGAACAGGAACGAACGCAGGAAGCGCACGAGAGTGAAGTGGCTCAATTGAACGAGGTGTGGAAAGAAATTCAAAAGAAAAATGCACATCGCAAGGCGGCAGTGCAAGTGGCAACGGGTGTCATGATTACGGATGAAGAGGATTGCAATCGGGTGTTGGATCAGCAGACGCAGAACATTCAGGAAATGCATCAGAAGCAGAAACAGCTCGAGGTACGAGAGACTGAAGCTTAGGTGTTTTTTTGGCTGCTAAGATCGGTCTGAGTTTCTTTTTTGTTTTGTTTATTGGTGGTCATAGGATCAGAAGATTGATACTAGTACTCAAGTCAAGCGGACTAAGCGGACGATCGAGACTTTATTGAAGCAGGTGCGTAGTGTGTTGGATAGACACAATGTTAGCATAGGACTCACTTTTGCAAATGACTGGACTTATATGCTAGAACGATTTGAGGAGTAAAGACGCTGAAGTGAAAAAACGAGAACAGGATTACATGACGCTTCAACAAATGAAGAAATGGTGCGTCATGTGTGCATGGGATTGGATGCACAATGTGTCACTCATTGATTGTTCACTTGCAGGTATGACCATGTTAGAAGTATCCAGGAATCCATCTCTGGACTGGAGATTACGAAGATTGCCGATGATTACCTCGAAGTGCGAGTTCTAAAGTCGCATTTGGTGAGACTCTTTTGTGATCCTGAAACCACGAGATTGCTGCAAGTTCAGGTGTGTGATATGTCTAGTTCAGCTGCTTTGGTGATTCAGTATCATTTACGTCTTTTTCATTGTGCTTGTTGATTGCAGTTTTTAGACTCCGACGTGGCGTGTGCCGATCTTGTAGAGATCGCCGTGCGCGATAATAGCGTGCGGTATCTATTGTGCGAGTATCGCGAACGTGTGCGTGAGCAGCTAGCGCTGTGAGACGGGTGCTTCTTCGAGTGAGAACAGTATTGAGTATGCATTTCATACAACCACCATGTTGATACACTACTGCTGCTGATGATACAGTATAGAGCTCGTACTTTTGCCCCCAGCCAAGATGTTTTTTCTTCTTGCTTTGATTACAGTTCATTCACCTGGAGCTTTCGAATCGTTTTTTTGTTGTTTTCGTAGGACGTAATCGATCGTAAGCTTGAAATTTGCAGCAATTTGCATTTCTTTGTCGCGACAGAATCGACGTTAGAGCATTTCTCGGACGTCGGTACGATTTTTACGTACCGACGTCTGAGAAATGCACAAATGTACAAGGTCTTACCCTACCAACGACCTTGTTCAGCGTGTGATAGTATCAACAAATACGTACACGAGTCTCAGCAAACTACAGCTTTTACCTTGTACTACACATGATAAATAATAAATAATGTAGTTCTTGAATTGACATTGTTCATTGTACATGCTAAAATAGTAGATGAATGGCATCCAGCACTACTGAAGAACTTGTTTGGTGAAACGAATGGCCATCTGGTAAAGATAGGAAACGCCGAGGTAGCCTAGACTGCACCCCGTCGACGTCAACTCCAGACCCGTCGCTACGAAACCATTCACCAACGCATACTCGTACCAAGAGTTGAAGCATTCCTTAGCCACAAAGCTCACCTGGCGTGCCCCAATCTTCAGCAGAAGAAACCACAGCTTCGACATCTATTCGCACAAATACATGGCAGCAAAATGGTCACAACTTGCAAGCAAAGTCATTGCATAAAAGCATAGAACGATCAGTTACCTGAATGAAGTTTGAACAGAGCTCCAGCACCAACTTTGCATGCTCGGGATAATACTTTTCTATCATTAGTGCCAGTGCGACCACGCTTGCCACAGGAATCTAAGACACAAAACACGAACATGAGATCCTTCTACCAACAAAACCCAGGATAGCAAAAGACGTACCGCTAAACCAATAAACGGCACTCCAGCTGCAACAAGTGATCCTGCTAGGAACGGATGCTCTACCGCTTCTTTGCGCGTCCGATTATACAGATCCGTCACGTACGTCCTCATTACTGCTGCTCGCTTCAACTGACTGCTATTTTCGCCATCCACTCGTCCATCCCGTCCCGATCCTCCATCTTCCTCTTCATTTTCTTCAAGCTCTTCAATCGTAATCCGACCATCACGATCTCCAGCTCGCACTTTTCTGCGCTCATCATCGCCCAGCGACGTAAACAACGACTGTCCTGCATTCAGCAGTTTCTGTGCAATATTCAGCGACAACTGCGCTGCCAAAGCCAGCTCGTCCTTTGTAATTGTGTTCAGTGCATGATCCATCGTCGTACACATTCCTTCAGCAAACACCATCATGTTACGCACGTTTTCTTCATTGGGCGGGACAATCAGCACCGCTGCATCACCATCTCGAGACACTATCACAGTACCATCATTCTTGCTACCATCATTCTGATACTGCTGTTCATCTTCCAATAGAGCTGAGGACTTTTGTAGCGCCTCCAGGACTTTAGTATCTGCCTGCTTCACATGATAACAAAGTTCCCGGATCTGCTCAGGGTCTTGTAGGATCGCACTGACGTTCTGCTTCATACTACAAAGACTTTCTTGTGTGGCACACACAGCACGAGCCAATCCAGTTGCTACTTCTTCGACACTGAGCTCCTGTACCGCAGCGTTGGCATCCGCACACGTCTGTGCTAAAAAGTCCAATATCGTCGCGTTCGCTGCCGCACTGTCACGTTTGTTTGCGTCACTTGAAGGAAAGGATAGAGAGTCATCTTGTGTGGTGATACACTGCTGGATCAAAAGCTCCATGGCCTGCGTCTGGGCACGTTCGTACTCGTCCATGGACGCCATTACTCGACCCTCGAGCTTCTTCGTCGGTAAAATTAATGTACTGTACACTATCTGCTTTACTACTTTTATGTACGATACACAATACATCGTCCTTCTTCATGGATAGTCATTATAATGAGGGAAAATTCTTTTGAAACGAGCTAGAGACGGATCCTTGACGGCCGTTGTGGAAGGCCTCTCCTTTGTCCTTGTCTAGGCAGCCATGGAAGGGCGTGAGTGGCTTCAAATTGATACAGAAGTACCGTCAAATGTCTATACACTAGATCTGCATAAATTGAGTGAGTGGGCGCGCATTTCCGAGTCAGAACTTGTACGTGGTTTGCAGTTGAAAGATGCTGTGGATATGCAAGGTGTTGTCGTGAATAGAGGCCAAGAAGTACCTTTTGAAGCGGTGGGAAAAACACGAGATGATGAAGAAGATGTTGAAGATCGATTTACTCGTCTTTTGCCCCCTGGAGCATCGGATTCTGGTGTGAAACAGGTTTTACTTACTGCAGCTTCAAGTACAATGTGTTTAGACGGTTCAGACACTCCCAAGTGCCTCATCATGCTCGGAGAATACACACTTATGGAGCATATTTTAGCTCAATTATTTGTAGCGGGAATGGAGAGAGTTGTCATTATTATCTCGTACTTTGGACACGAGATCATGGAACATGTGAAACAGAGTTTTCTATACTCAAAGCTTCAGATTGAGTTCTTGAATCTAGGAGAAGAGACGTTTTATGGTCATGCACGGACCTTATTATCTGCTAGAGAATTGTTTACAAAACCCTTTTTGATTCACACAGCAGACCATATCTTTGATCGAGCGATTATTAGTCGCATGGCACATTTTGAACTGGAAGGATGCGTTGCGTGCGTGCTCGTGGATGCTGATAGAGATAAGATAAAGGGTTTGCCAATGACGGCAGGTAAAGTGCTACTGGACTCGACGAACGAGACAATTTGTAAGATTGGACGTGGACTGAAGCAATTTGATGCTATTGATGCGGGTCTATTCTTGACAACGAGGAGACTATTTGCAGCACTGGAGATGTTGGCCTATGAGAAGCCAAAATATTCGCTAGCAGAAGCACTGAATGTACTGCGTCCGAGTTATGGATTAAAATATATGGAGACGGGCGGGGATGCCTGGCTGAGTGTAGAGACTCAAGCGCAATTGGATGCAATTGTGGCCAGTAATAGCATTGCGTTGCTGTCGCCGTGGCCGGTGTTTGTCGCCAAGGAGCCAACACAAAGGGCACCATCGCCAACTGCTGCTGGTGGGAGGAGCGTGTTTCTGGCTGTTTCAGCTGCTTCTGATGACTCAATGCTGCGCGCGGTTGACGCGCATGTTCGCCAATCAGCCGATGTGTTTGAAGGGTTTGTAGTTGGCGTGAACCAGCTGCAAGAAGTAGATAGTGCTACTACCACTGCGCGTACTGCAGCATCAGTTCAAGCACGCGAAAACACACCACTACTTGGTCTTTCGGCAAGATCACCCTCACGGCGCAATCGTGAAGGGATAAATGTACCTTTGGCAGTTCGACGCAAGCGGTCTTCATTCTTGGAACAAGCGGAAGATTCTTTTGTGTTATCCATACCATTTGAGAAATCACCCATCGTTAGTGTTGATACTAGCAACCCATACGATGAGACTGAAGGACCATCAGCTATGAAGCGGATCGCTTATCTGATTGAGCTTCCACAGGTCACGGCGACTGGAGGTGGGCGTAGTGCAGTACAGGGAACATCGCAGCAGTTTGTGCTGGCTGTGCCCGATAGTGACACATTGTACAAGCGCCCCGGGCTATTACGCCAGTTGTCGTCACTGCCGACTGATGTCAAAGGCATTGCTGTGGAAACAATTGAGTTTCGCAATGGCACAATGGAACTGCAGTTGCTTATCACACGCCAAGTGCCTTTCATTGGTTACGTGCTGCTATTTGCATCGCTGTTCACGATTTCGTCTTTGGGAGCGGCATTGGACCGGCAGCGTAATGTGGATCCTTTCATGAAACTGTTCTGGCGCACAAGCGCGTCCCTGATTGTATTTATTCCGCTTGCTGGAGGTGCACTGTACGACCGAGGCTTACCGCAATTCTCGACGCGGAATATGATCCTCTTCTTGACGTGCTCGCTCTCGTACACAGTCTTCCTCATGACATTCCTATGGTCGCTGTCGCACACATCCATGGATCACGCTTACATATTTAATAACTGCCACTCGCTACTGATGCTCGTAGGGCGCCTGCTGCTTGGGCAATACGTATCGCAATTCGAGGGTCTGGGAACTGCTATTGGTACTATCGGCGGAGCACTCACGACTTTGGATTATCAACCATCGTCTTCAATGGGAGTTGAAATGGTACCAGTATCATTGGCTGGTGACCTCGTTGCACTTGTAGGTGCCATTGGAGGTGCTTTGTACCTCATTACCGCCAAGAAACTACGTACTGAGATGGACATCAGCATTTTATTTGTTGGCATGTTCGTATTATTTGCGCTGCTGATATTCCCAGTATTTTCACTACTTGACATTCCATTCGAGGCGTCTCGAGATCCTAACATTGGCCTCTTCGGTTGGCTGCACCCGTCGCGTGCAGCATCAGAAGCTTATATTGTGCTCGTGTGCACGCTTGTCGGTACGCTAGGCTACATTGCTGCTATCAAGTATTTTGCTCCCATTGTCGTGTCGGTCGTGATGCTCCTGGAGCCCGTGGTGGCTACTTTTATGGGTGTGGCAGTTGGTGTTGATGGATACTTGGGTGTGCTCACAGTTGTTGGCTCATCGCTGATCATCTTTGGTGTGGCTCTTGTGATCGTGTCCAATTCATCCAAGACCCAGACGATCGATGCAACGCCGGCCATGTCATTAACATCAACGGCTGTGCCCCAAGGTCTCAGTTTTACCACCACTAGCGGTCTGGAATTGCCACAACCAACCAACCAGACGACAAATGTGAGATACACTTGACCAAGGATTACAAGCATATGAATATGACGCCAGCCATCAATTCCTGTCGATTGGATTGATAGGTTTGTCCTGCAGGTAGGTAGGTAGGTACATGACGTTAAAGGTGCAGCTTAGCGCAACGTACTCTTGCATCTATGTTGCTTGTTCAATTCCTAATCGCGTCTTATGTTGCTCATTGTTTTGATAAAATCTACCTCACAAAATGAAGATCGTGGCACTTAATATGCGTCTACGTGAGGCCTTTTCAGCGCTGCTGAAGGACTTCCCGTCTTCTCACGCCTTGTCCAACGTCTCCAATAGACGTCCTTTTGTCTTGCACTCTCAATCCTCGTTTTTCGTGGCCTCTACAGACCTCTACACGCAACACTGTCGTTTGATATTAACGCGTCTCAATTCCTATCAATATGACTCTGCAAGTGCGTTTCTACTCGATCTGGAGCAATTGGAGTGCGTGGCCGAGTCCGTAGTAATCAAGCAGCAAGTGAAGGATCTTTTTGAGCGTCTCACGGTCTCTGAAAGTGAGAAACAAGGCGAGGAAAGATCAGTGAAGGTTTCTAATCAATGCGGGACGACGGTCTCATTAGGCTCGAGTTGTGGCGTTCCTGGGCTTCAGGAAGTCACGTCCATTGGATCAGAAGCAGGAGAGACCGAGGCGAACACCATGTGGTTGTGTAACTTGACAATGAACCACGAGATTGTGACTATCGGGACTTTTCGGACAAAGGAAGAGGCACTACAAGGGTATGAAGAGCAGAGGAAGTTTATGATGGAAAACATTGCCGAATTCAAGAAGTTGCAGCTATTTGTTGCTAAAAGGGAGGAAGAACAACGTGAAGAAGACCGAAGGGTGTTAAAGGAAGCAGTGGCTCAGTGTCATCCGAGATTCATGACGATGAAAGTGACTCCCGTGACTGCTCTGACCTCTGGACCTCCTGTAAACAACATGACGTCGATGACAAGAGGGACTCCGCAGATGGTGGCGAGAAGTATTGCAGTAGATGCTGCTGTTTTATTACCGAAGGTGAATGCTATGCCGTCGTCAGAGACTGGAGGCGCATCACCACGAAGAGTTGCAAGGACTGTTAAGAGACAGAGAGCAGAGAATATCAGTAGTGCTACTTTGTCCACGAAGAAGCACAAAGTGGGATCAGCTACTGCGAGTAACTCATCAGTAGATGGCCGATCGTATCTGAAATTACGTCGGCTTATTCAGAAGCGTTTATGCCGACATCTAAAAGGAAGAGAAGTGTGCGTGCTGTCAAACCCGAACAAACTTGACGGGAGATTGCGGGCTTCTGGACGCCTTGAGGCCGGCAAAGTATTTTCATTCCGCCGCAAGAAGCAGATGGCCTTTGCTGACTACGTATGTGACGAACTGGGTCGAGCTGAGTCGGCATGTGCGCACATGATCCTTGTTCGATCAAAAGAAAGTATCGATGACCATCTGAAAGTTTGCGACGCTTTCTTGGACAAGAAACGTTGAGCTGGCCTATACACAACACGCAAAAAAAAGTAAGAAGACATCGTGCTGACGAGCTGATGGGTGTACCTACCTTGTCTAATATGAATTTTGTGCATACACCATGCAGTTTCACTACGTTCTGTTTCCTCCAACCCTTACAACAAAGCCACGCGACGCTTAGGAAAAGCGCTCGCCCGTTACGGGGCAAAGCTGGAGATTGCTGTTGGTGCAATTGTAATGCACGACCTTTCCATTTGGGTAGACAGCGAACACAATGTCGCCGATACGCTTGCGACACACAGGGCAAAGCGTATTCGGGTCAACCTGTACACTTTGGGTCAGACGCTCGACACGGTCGCATTGGACTTGCAAGTTGTAGACGTTCGACAACGACTTGGTGATGCTCATCTCGCGCACATTGTGGGCACTATGTGGTAACGCCTGCGCGAAAAATTCACCCAGCTTTGACAATGGTGTGCTTGGTGGCACCACCTCCAGCACTGCAGCGCTATCCAGGCTTTTGCCGTGACGCGCGAGCAGTTGAAAGCCGAAGTCGTTAAACGCGGCTTTTTTGGACTCATCACGAGGGGAGAAGCAAATTGTCAACAGCTTCATCAGGGCCTCGTTGCGCTCCATTGCCGCACCAGCTCCAACGTGTTGGTTGGTAGATGATGATGATCCAGCCGACAGAGCACGCGCTCCGTATTTGACAGAATAGCTCTCGGCACCACGCAAGTCGTTTAACTCGTAAACTAGCGAGGTAATGGCTTCCTCATGCAGTGCACCTCGGCCACAAAGAATCACAAACTCATTGTACAGCGGCTTGCCCTTAATCTTCTCGACTAGCGGAGTCACGTCATAGCGTGAAGATCCAGATTTGAGGAATTTAAGCAGCCGCTTGCGTGCATCACCCAACGCGCCAGGCTCTTTACCTGGTTGAGATTTTGACGGTACCTCTCCCTTGGCAACCAGTCGCAGGGTTTCATCCAGATACTCCAGCGCCAAGCGGGTGTGATGTGGATCAACAACAACTGATACCGCGCCACCATCTGTCCCACGCGTGGGCTCGTCGTCATCATCATTGTCGCCAGCTAAGAAGTGACTATAACTGTCATTAACCCGCAGCTCTGCAGCATCTTGGTCAGCAAATGCAGTGAAACCTCGGCTACTTCCCTCTTTTGCGCTTCCGCTGTCGCCTACGGCAGCTGTCGCACCAGTCTCACCAGTCGCCTTGACGAGGGTCTCAAGGTACCGTTGAACAATAGCGGGGTCATTTGAATGCTCTCGCAAATGTGCAACCACATCGTTCGATGGTAAAGGTGGCCGACGGTCAGTGAAAATGCGCAAAGCTAGCTTGGCAGATGTGGCCTTAATAATCCAAATCGACTGCTTAAAGATAAATTCACTTTCTGACTCTGGCACCATCACCAGTACATCGATTGCTGCTTCGATCGGAGATTTTGGCATACCGCTTGAGCCACCACGTTGCTTGTACTCGCCGTGGTGCAACAGAGCAAAAATCTCTAGGGCCTCGTCGTACTTTTCGTGAGCACACAGCAGCTGACCAGCCTCGTAGTAAAGTTTGTGTTTCGTCAGCAGCGACTGCGATGCTTCCAATTCAAGGGCACATCCTCCAGGAGATCCGGACGGGCTCTCCACATCCGGATTAGGCTCTTGAATAAGAACAAGCAATTCCTTGTACCTCTTATAGTGAATATAAAGACGAAAGAGCGCAGTGTCAATGGCTTCGACGCGACGCGCATCCTTGGGATTTCCGGATGACGCAGAACGGCTTCTTGACGATGACGTCGGGTGCGTGCGGGCACGAGCCTTATCCCGCATATGTTTCTTGTGTTGGTTGAGAAACTTGAGAAGTGCTTTTTGCGCAGCACTGACGAGATCTGCCGCATCACTTGAGGCAATTTCACTGTTCAAAGGAGCACGCGGGGTTGATAGTAGTTCCTGGATAACCGATGTAATATCAGGTGCAGAGCTGCTGCCCCGCGGAAGCACCTCAGGCTTGAAAATGGAAGGTTCATATGCAAACGAGGTGCACTGAAGCTCTGGAAAAAAGGCGATGAACTCACATGGTTCTATAGCAGCACGGTACATGTAATCTGCAGCACTGTCAAACTCCAAGCGACGCAATAGTGCGACTGTAGCCTGGCGCTGGAATCGTTTGATCTTGCTGCGCTGCTTATCACTCGACAAGGCCGAAATAGACTTGCGAACCAAGCTTTGTGCCTCTTCAATCTGTCCACGGTCCAAGAGCTCTCCAACTTGTTGATCAAGTGGCATCGGTTCGATCTTCATCACACTCGACGTTCCATTCATTTCTCTCACACCGACAAGCACGATATCTTCACTATCCCCACTTGGTCTCGGTTCCATATCCCACTTCATTCCATTCGCAAACATACACACTGCTCGAGTCAATGGCATAGTCTGGACCAAGGTTCCATCATTGGCTCGATGGATCTCTACCCCAACTCTCGGCACCAGTGCCATCAAGTAGGAAGATGAAAACTCCACTTGTTGTGGACTCTGAGACCATGTGATTGAGTTCTTGGCCACTGTGTCTCCAGTAAACCCGACAAACACTCCTACTCGATCCATCACAGCAACTAGAATTTCTTCCTTGGGCAGTAATTTCACAACTGGAAAAACGGTTGCGTCTTGAATTCCAGGTGTATTGATCGGTGTCGCTTCTCCCAATTTGTCATTCAGTAGATAATAATTTTTCCGATATCCAACCACGACTTTGTTCCGATACCAACTCATAGCTTCAGGTACATCTTGTGTACTAAATTCCCGTAAAAAAGTATAACTTTTATCACTGCTATGGTATTGATAAATTACAATAGCTTTTCGTTTAAGTAACCCCACCCCCAGACGAAAATGAGGTGGTCCACGTTGATTCACACATACGAGACGAACTTGATGTGGGTTGGCTTTGGAGAAGTCAAAGTCCAGTGGTTTAAGGTCTGTAGCGCCATGAGCAGAGATTTCTCCATTTGATACAACAATAAGCATTCGTATATGAGGAACGGCCAGTAATTGTTCGATTCGTTTACCATGTGGAAACGTATACGAAGCTGTAGACGTCGAAGTACCTTTTCGTGTGTCATACATAACAATGCGACCATCTTTCGAACCTACAACGACACGGGATGAATAATGGGTCACACATTCAAGTTTGCCATCGAAACCAGTAACGATTGCGGTTGAACGAAATGCTGCGCGCTGTTCATTCGAAGAGGAAGACATGACGAGCCACCCAAGAGATATGAGAGAGCTTTTCTCTCTCGCCTTGTGTAGACTCGACAATCATGTGGTTTACATAAAGTTACAGAATATTGTTTTTTTTAACGAATTGGAATTGACGTGGGTTTTAAGAGCTAGAGTGGGAAGTTTTAGTTATTTCTTACCTTTGTTTTTTTATTTTCCCACTTGGTTGATCCTTATTAGGGGTACAAGCAAGTGCAGCTAGATGTGCTGTGGGAGTTAATGGCCTCTAATCAACGTACACATATTCTAATGGGAGTGATTTGCTATTCGCATGAAGAAAGAGTGATGCAATCGACAATCTAAGACCAAGAAGCTGCCGTTGTAGCTACAGCTATTGTTATTCATCTCCAAATATAACAAGTTGGAAATTCGTTAAAACTTACAACTCAAATGTTAAATCAATGATATAGAAAACCTTAATGTATTTTGTTACCGCGGTAATTACTCTTCATTGGACTCGGACGAGCTCACTGAGTCCTCACGTGAACGCTTTCGTGTGGATGTAGAAGTCGGTGGAGACCCATATTCTTTATTGGCATATGACATCTTCATTCCATCCAAGCACTTGCCCATCGCGGTTTTGTGTTGCACAATAGGAGAAGGATAATCTTTGCCGATAACGCAACCCGACGCATGCTGTAGAGTAAGTGGTGCTTTCCATGGCTCGTAGATATACTTGGCTGGCAGTTTTTTTAGTGCTGGGATATACTTCTTGATGAAAAGTCCTTCGGGGTCGTATTTCTTGCCAAAGGATATCGGAGAATACACTCGGAAGTATGCCGTAAAGAAATGGCTAGCGCTAAGCCACAGCCAGTTGCCAGCGTTAATGCTCCAGTCATGGTCAATCAGCCGCTCTTGGAAAACCTCGAGCCCACGCACCCACGAAATATATAAATCACCGCGTGTAAGGAAACAAGCTACCGAGTGACGTGCTAGGTGATGCACCCAACCTTCCTCCTTTAGCTGGATCATGATGGCGTCAATCCAGGGGAAACCAGTCTGACCATTTTTCCAAGCCTCAAACTGAGTACGAGCAAGCTTGTCGTCGTCAGTCATGTCCTCCTCTCTATCTGGAATTGTATGCCACCGCCAATTTACCTGCAAGCAAATACGGTTCTCCTCCATCTTATCAAAATACGGGTTGGCATGGCCATGACAATGGTAGAATTCCCGCCAAAGAAGTTGTCCATCCAAACTCACAGGTGGTCTTGATACTTTTTTCTGTTTCTCTTGAATAGATCGCACTCGATGATAAAATGTCCGCGGACTGAGACAACCAAAAAACAAGTACGAACTCATCGTAGTTGTCGACGCAGTCGGAGGCATTTGAGCAGGAGAGGTCTTGGGTTTCTCAAACTTACCCACGCGGTCTTCATCTTTACAAAAGTCATCTAGAATCTGTAAAGCTTTCTGCTCACCACCATAGATAAACGAGTGTTTCTTAAGCGGTTTGTACCCAAAATCCGTCAGTTCTGGCAGTGTGAACTTGAGCTCGGGACCGGCAATCTCGTGCAGTTGACTTTGAATGGACTGGTCATCCTGTTCTTCATCCTTCTCTGCTGCTTTAGCTCCATCTTTCCAATAGTCAACTACATACTGATATAACTCACTGTTCGTTCTCGTGGGGGTAGGAAGATTGTCCGGTGTTGGAAGCGGCTGAGATGGTTTTGGCTGCGTGGCCGCTGCTTTAAGGAACGACTGGTACGTCTTAGGAGCTCCTCCTTTATTATCTGCAATCACTGCATCCAAATCGTATAAATTGTATCCGTTCGTCGTGTGGGTTTCCACACTCAGACTCTTTGCCAACGCTATTACACGATTGTCTCGCTCGACAGCGTAAGGTTCACAAGCGGCATCAAAGTACAAGTGTGTGATCCCCCACGCCGGTAAAAGTCGTTTCAGTACTTCCACTCCGTCGCCTTTTGCAACCACAAGATGTGAACCACGTGCAGTTAAAGCGTTGGACAAGTCCGATAAACTCTCGAGCAGAAACTGGAAACGAGTCGCACCGCATCGCATGAGTTGGGGTCGCTGGATAATGTACAGCGGGATAAACTCCACCTTGTCGTCCTTCTCCTTCTTCTTCTTTTTCTCTTGCTGGTGGACGAGTGTCAGTGCCGCATTAAGCGCCAAGTTGTCGTGTAGACGAAGATCGCGACGGAACCACAGTAGCACTCGCATGGTTGTTTTAATGGGTAGAAAGATAATTTTTGATTGTTGAGAATATATTAGCAAGTAAAAATAGCGTAAGATATTAATTCGTTGTATGATGAAGAGACGTTTGCAGCCGATCTTACGTCAAGGGTCGTTGGTTGGATAGAACAAATTAGAATAAAAGTGTTAAAATGATTCATCGTATGAATTTAACATTTAAAAAGCTTTAAAACCATCATGATACTGTCATATTTCATAAAGTAAAACCAGGTTTTGACATGACAGATGTTAACGCCTGCGTCATCATGATCGTGATATAGCTTTAAAAGAGCATGACGACGATGACCGTCGATATACCTGCGCGGCCACTGGCCGAGGTGGTGCTCTATGCCGAGTTCGATTTGACCAAGGGCAGTACACTGCGTGCGAGCTACCCAAGTCCCTTCACTCACTACTCGCCTGAGTTCTTTGCCGATATGATGTTACCTGAAGGTGTGCACAACCGCAAGGAAGACTTTACCATCTTTTTCCTCAACCGGCTTACCGCAAAAGCGCCAGACGCAGCGACACAAGTTAGTGACGACCACTCGACAAAAGTGGGCGATGTCCAGGACCAGGATCCACTACAAAATTTCATGTACTGCCTTAGTGTAGTACGTACGACACACGACACGGCGGCTCGGCGTGGTGCCAAAGTGACGGCAGTGGCGCTGTGCTCGACCCACAAGAGCTGCGTTTCTCTTAAGGACGTGCTGAACTTGGCCGTGCTTAAGATCGTAGGCACCACAAATGAAGCGGAGAGTGAACAGGTGTTGAAAGAGCTGTACGACGTAGTAAATGCCATTGACATTTCTGGAGTTCGTGGGCTCTCCAGTATGGAACGAAGACTTATGAAACGTACAATTAGTAGTACAGGAGAAACGTTAGCCAATTGGGAAGATGCCACGACACTAAAGAACGCCTTGTTCTTTCGAACTCGAGCTCATTGGGACGACATTTCGATCCCATTGCAATTTAAAATCTGCAGCACGGACGATCAACATGATGACGGAACATTGACGCAATTATTGCAGACTTTTGGAGATCAGACAATGATTCTGTTTAATGCCGTGCTGACTGGACAGAGGGTGATTATGTTGGGGTATAATCGACCGGCAGGTGAAGTGTGCAACTTTGTGCTTGCCACCAGTTCGCTGGTGTGTCCACCCTTGTTTGGACTTATTCATCGCCAATACCCGTACGTTGTCTGTTACTGGAATGGAGAGAGAGTTTTTGATTGTTGTAATACAGTCTTTTATTGTGGACAGCTATGCGAACCTCACGGACTTGGGTTTTCTGACTACACCGGGGTTTATTGCTGGGGTGACAAATCCAATGTTTAAGACAAAACGGGAGTGGTGGGACGTTTTGTGTGATATATCGACAGGTGAAGTCTTTGTGTCGTCGCCGGTGGAGAAAGAAGATTACGATGCTTCGGATCGCACCTTCGTTCTCGAGGTACGTTTGAGAGAAAGGAGGCCGCAATTCTTTTCGACTTACCTGACAAGATTTGTACAGGTACTGGACGGAGTAGCTGCAGGTTGTGACGAAGAGTGGGTGCGGTGTATGTTTGAGGAATACATGCTAAAAAATGTCGTGGACATTACAATGGGTGAGGCGAACTACTTGGACCCTGACGCACTGGCAAAGCGCTCAGCAATCAATATCAAGCGTATTACCAAGTGGACTCGTACTGACAGCTACAAATGCTTCATGGACTCCCCTCAACGGTCACACTTCCACTCACCAGCGTTCAATATATCCTACTCACATAACTTGCGTGTACTTGCTACAGAGCAAGCACACATCGTGCATGTATATGGCAGAACATTTGTGCATTATGGTACCTTAACGTGAGACGGCGGACTGTTGTGCTTTTGTGGATGTTTACGTAGAGAAAACTGGTGTGGATCTGAAGCGGCATATTCGGAGTCTTCAAGGCGATATGGTGATGCTAGATGATACTCTTGCGGAGACAATCTACTCGGACTTTGCTACGTTATTGAATACGGAAGTGGAACTGCAGGAGTTTCTAAGTTTTTTGCCAGTGCTACGCGGAGGCCTGCAGACCATTGCGCAGGGAATTTTCCACCCATCCATCAGCGTTAAGCACAACACTGTGGTGCTCCTGAAGCGCCTGGAACAATTTCCGTCAACTGCACCTAGCATGCATCGACTCAACGCGTTCCTGATGACGTCGTATGAGCGCATCCACAACATTGTCAACCTGGAGGATACAAAAGACTAGTCTTGTATATGAGCGGCTATCTGACGAGAAGAAAGTCAAGACGAAAAGTACCGTGCAGATCCGATTCGACAGTGTTCTACCTAGTTCATATCTGGAACTAGGAGGTTACAAGTTTAGCAAGAGCCTTCTCCGAGCAGCTGGTTGCCATTGATTGTGTCAGTTTTGCTGGAGCACCGCTGTGCAGTGAGTTTGAAATTTTGTTCAGCTGCTGACACAGCTGCTCGATATATATCCCGAAGACACATTAGCAGTTTCGTCGTTAGCAACAAAACGCTGCTTTTTGTGTTTGTTTTGTTGGGCCTCATGCTGCTGTATTCTATATCATCGAGATCGCAGACGATAAATGGTTCTTCACTCGACCTGAACTCAGGAACTGTCGCTTTACTACCGTGTTGTGAGTAATTTGCACCAAATGAGCTGTTGTATTCGTAGGTTTACAGGTGCAGTCTTTTGCAAACAGGAGCGCTGCTTACTCATAGGCAATGGTAGTTTTACGATCAGTGCTTGCTTTTGCTGCGGCATCTTCTCGATTTTTTTACAAGTGCTGGCACAAGTTGCATATGTTCTTACGATGAAGTGCTTTCATTAACATTTTTGTGTTTCAGATAGCGACGCCCGGATTGTCAGCTTTTGTATGTCATCGTGCCTTTGTTAAGGTGATTTCCATTTAGAAATCACCTAGCAACTTCATTGTGCTGTTTGGTCGAGCAAAGCTTCCGCAAGACTGAACTCTAAGCGAATAAAAAGGCCCGCAAAGATGGTTCTCCTCTTCTTCCGTGTCGTCAGTAGAATTTACAAGTCAGTATCTCGGGCACCATCACTGCTTTTATGATATATGACGTGGTTTACACAAAATGGTTGTGGCAACACCAATCTCTAAATCAGATCTCCCTCCAATACGTTATCCTTCGACAAGTTATCATCTCCGATAGGTTATCAAAATTTGCGTCGTTCTATGACCGCTAAGGTATACGTCAAAAGTTATGTAATAATCAGTCAGGGGTAATATAACTAACATTATAAAATGAGTATTTTTCTTTTGTTTTTCAAGAGAAAACCTACTTAAACCACATGTCGAGGGTAGTTGGGTGGTAGATCCGTTGCAAATATCAAGTTACAGGGTGCGGAATCTCCATAAGCAGTTTCTGCAGTTACTGTATTATTACTCTTATGTACTATACATAAATACCGATCAGCTAGAGCCTCTGTTAAGTTATAAATAGTGTCGTCTACCGTACTTATAACTTAACGGAGGGAGACCTGTCGGGCACCTTGACGCAACATTGTCGTCATACGTTCAGTGATTCGTCACTTTGCAATTTGACACGTCAAGCACAAGACCTCTTCCTCAGCCATGCAGCTCCTACCACAATTGGAACGTATTGTACAGCTGCAACAGCAGCCGGAAAACAAAGACAAAAACCTTGTACCTGTGTACTTGGATGCCGTAGCCGACCTAGACACGCCCGTGAGTGTGCTGCTAAAGCTGCGTGAGGGCCAGACCAACTCGTTCCTACTCGAGTCCGTGGCACCTGGTGAGAAGATTGCACGCTACTCGTTCATTGGTGCTGGTCCGCTTAAGGTCGTGGCTACGGGGAAAGGTCAGAGCTTTGAAGGTGATCCGCTTGTTAATTTAGAAAAGGAAATGCAGCACTTTCGCACGGTGACGCTGCCTGAGCTTAATTTGCCCATGACGGGCGGAGCTGTGGGCTACTGCGGCTTTGATGCCATCCGCCACTTTGAGCCCAAGATTGCACCGTATATAGAGGCCCAGAAGGACGTGCTACAGGTACCTGAGAGCATCTACATGCTCTTTGACACGGTCGTAATCTTTGATCATGTATTCCACTCGCTCAAGATCGTGTCGCACTGCCGTCTGGATACGGAAGACCTTGCAGCCGCGTACAAGGAAGCGACCGATAAGATCTTGGCGATTGACGCTACGCTAAAGAAGCCGATCGAGCGCACGTCCAGTGTTACCCACAAGAATGCAGTTACAGCGTCCAAGATTGATCTGGAAGCGGCCTCGAACGTCGGCAAGGCGGGATACATGGGCTTCGTGACGAAGCTTAAGGAACACATTGTAGACGGAGATATTTTCCAGGCAGTACCGTCACAGCGACTGGCCATGGATCTCCCGAAGGACGTGACCTCACTGGACTTGTACCGTCAGATGCGGGCCATTAACCCGTCGCCGTACATGTTCTTCTTGGACATGGGCGAAGACTTCCAGATTGTGGGCGCGTCGCCAGAGATGCTGGTCAAGGTGGACCATGATCGTGTCGTCGAGACACATCCGATTGCTGGTACCCGTCATCGAGGTGCTGACGACGCGGAAGACAACGCGCTGGAGAAGGAGCTGCTTGCTGACGAGAAGGAGCGTGCTGAGCACATTATGCTGGTGGACCTGGGCCGCAACGACGTCGGTCGAGTAGCCAAGCCGGGCTCTGTCCGAGTGGATCGCCTCATGCAGATTGAAAAGTATTCGCACGTGATGCACATTGTCTCGGTCGTCAAAGGTGACTTGCGTGAAGACAAAACAGTGTATGACGCGTACCGTGCCATGTTTCCTGCCGGCACATTGTCTGGTGCTCCAAAAGTACGTGCTATGGAGCTAATTTGCTCGCTGGAGACGGAACGTCGTGGCGTATTCGCTGGCTCCGTGGGATACTTCAGTTTTTCTGGATTCCTCGACACGGCTATTGCCATTCGCACGATGGTGGTCAAAGGTAGTAAGGTCTACTCGCAAGCGGGCGGCGGCATCGTGTACGACTCAGACCCGCAAGCTGAGTATATGGAGACATTGAACAAGCTGGGCTCCAGCCTCAAGACATTGGAGAAATGTGCCGCTAAATAGCACCGAAGGCACAATGAGCTTAGATATGTTTTGCCTGCCTACTTTTTCAGTAGTCATTATCATTTTGTACGGCTTGAATCTATGCTCTGCATTGTTACTCTTTATTTTACTATGCCATACTTGTCTCAAGTGCAAGTAGTCACTCATCTCCTTTCTTGCCCGGGTTGACTTGTTCTAAAAACCCGCCAACCCGTCACCCTTTTACCGATCGGCTACACGATCGCTCAGTATCAAAAACGCCTTGGAGCGGAAAAGTGAAAAGTATCGAACTTGAAAATGGGTAGAACTGACGACAACGAGACATTGCGTCGACGTGGACGCGCTCGGCCTCGTCCACGTACACCCAATTCCATTGCAAGTATGTACGCGCCTGCAGATTCAGTTGATAGTAACAACAACCACAGCAATACTAGCAGCCATCAAACGTCATCGAAGATGAAAATGGCATCGCTCATGGCTGTCGTGGACGATGCTGACGAGAGCAAGAGCATGCGAGTGAAGGTCGATGAGAATGATGGCTGGGTATCTAGAAACGTACCAATTAGCATCAGTAGTCTCACTACAAGCAATGAATCAATGGACGAGCACATTACAGCAACATCTGCAGCCTCATCGCTGTTTCAGAACGAGATGCCGACGATTATTCAAAGCTTTAGTGAAGAAAGACGACGTGAAAGCACTTCTGCACGGTCTAAAGTCAATCGAGAGAGTAAGAATGGAGCTGTTCATGGTGATGGGACTCCAACAGCTACTCGTTCCGTGTATGACTTTTACTTCCCATCTGAAAAAATGGAAGCAAGTGGAGGGTCTTCTAGTGCTGGGAATCGATCGTTAAAGAGGAAAAGACGAAGCGGACGACGATCAGATGATTTGGCGGCAAAGGAGCTGGATCTATTGAGATTTGGAGTCGATGCAGCTAAGCTTGTGCCGCAAGGACTTGTCGACCGCGTGGACGTTCATATGAGCCACGCGGTGCTGGTCAAAGTCGTGAATAGCCACATTACTAATTGGTGCAATCGTTCGGGCTTTGCTCCGAACTTCTTGCAAGAAATTACGACGCTATTGGCAGCGTACTATCCTTGTAATTACTCGACACTGTTAGATGAAGTACTGGCGGGATTCTTGCTCAAAAAACCGGAGTTTGTGGGCTTGTTACTGCCTGCAATGCTTGAGAAAATGGGCAAAGCCGGCGACTCTGTCTCGACGACCAAGTATCCGGTTGTAGACGCCTTGGTGCGTATGTGCGGCGTGAGAATGGGACCAAACGGGAGGGATTGTCATGATTTAGTGTGCTGGTCGTTGTTGCGCTGTCTACTAGAGCACAATGGTGATAAGTTTGTCCTCAGTCCGTGGATCGCAGCGTGTGCAATCGAGTCTAGTGATAGTGTCCTACACAACTTGTGGAGAGCACTGCTGTATCGTACGTTAAGTGGTGAAGAGAAAGTATCGCAAGATGAGGATGACCACGACTGGCAAATCGGAGACTCAGCGCAGCAGATCGCGGAGCTACTGGCGGAAGAAGGCAAGCTGCGCATGTGTCGGATTACGTGTGGATTTGTAAAGCTACTCTTAGCCGACGACGACTTGAAGAAGCAGCTCGTGAATTCACGGTCTTATCTGATCCCGGACTGCCTAGAGCGGGCGTTCAAATATGCTAGTCCAAGTTGGAGCTCGTCGTTAATGACAGAGTGGCTAGAACGGCGACGGAAGCAGCAACCAGATGGAGAAGATGTTGCTGGGTTATTTACAGAGTTGGTAGACTTCTTGGTTTGCTCCACATCGAAGTTGAGTGTGAAAAAGCCGGAATGGTTTGTCAAACACATTTTGAGCTTCGTCCTGTCTTCTCAACTTCATGTAGCAGAGCAGGAATCGGCACTGCGCGCAATCCTCTATAACTACATGCCCTTCGTGCTTGGTGGAGTCGACTATCAGTGGCTAGAACAAATGAGCACACAGAACGGTTTTCGTGAATCAACGATTGCCACTACTAGCGTGCCAACAGAAGGTCTCGATGGAGTGAGAAGCCAGTCTGTCCATTTTGTGCGAAGCAAGATAGAGCTTCTTGTTGGCCTCCTGGTAGCTGTCAGTGCTCGTACAAGTGCTTTATTCCTCGACATTTGGTCTGAAGTGTGGGCAGATAAACGGACAACACTTCCCTGGGAGTACGTTCACGCGCTTCTTTGCGTGTCCATCCAAGATATAGCTGAGGACCAAAGTGTACTTGTCCAGAAGCTTCAGAGCTTTACGACTCGAGTTTGCCGGTCTTACTATCGGCGCCTGAGTTGCCATCTTAGCAAGGAGGATACGTATAGCGAAGTTGCCATGAAGTTCTCGGAGGCATTAAACCTGCTACTTCCATCTACGCGCCCGGTCGCAGGTATTCTGCTGCAAGAAGTTTTGGGAGCCCTCGTGCGCTTCGAGGAGAATCACTTTTCCGTAGCGTCCGCAATTTTCGGCAATGCCATCATACTACACCTTGGAAGTTGTGATGACGGTGACGTGGATATCAGCGTCAAGCGAAGCGTTGTACAAAAGTCGCATGTAGAATATGGCCGATTTTCCAATCCTCTTACCTTATCCAACTCAACAATCGTGACCGTTCACATAATGACGATGCTCAAGACACTGGCTTCGACGAAGAATGAAACGGGAGAGTTTACTAGGCGTGTGCTTTCAACAGGACGTGTGGTGCGGCTGTTATCAGGCTTGCTGAATTTTGGTCGTCGAAGTCGGAGACAGGCGATGCTTTTGGACGTTATGGATGCTGTGGTCATGAGCAACACGTCGGAAATACTAAACAGAGACTGGGCTCGCCAGAATGTTGTTCAGGAGCTCGTGCATTGCGCGTACACGGGCCCGTCCAGCTCAGCAAACAGAGCGATCACGGTGGTACAAAACATCTTCCGGCACACCACAAGCGACGTCCAGGCCTTGTTATGGGTAGTTCTTCAGCAGTGTACAAAGCTTTGCTGTGGACGCGGGAAGATTACGTATCGTGATACGCCAGCCTGTTCGCCTGATTACTATCAGGGAAGAGCTGATGCTTTCGCGGAGCTAGTGAAGGCTATGGTGGTCACAGTACCCAATAACCTTTTGCGTGATGTGCTGCGTTTCATGGAACAAAAAATCGCTTCGTGCTCAGTAGGAAAGACGCGGATGAACTTGTTTCTACTGCTACTACTCCGGAAGCTTGTCGTCTGTGAGCTTCCGTGTGGTGTGCTTCTACCAGTTGTGCAACTAGCTGTTTGCCCGCTGGCACCCACAGACCTGGATCAAACTCGCTTGATACAGCTGCAGTTGCTAAAGGCATTGTGCACCCGTCTGATAGCTATTCGTCATCGTTCGGTGGCGTCAAAGGTGTTCAGTATAGACGCCGACTGGAAGGGATACGAGGATCTGGTATGCAACGATCGATTACAATCAGACTTGCGATCGATGGTGAAGGTGACACCGCTACCTGTTGGCGGCGTGTCTTTTCAGGTGGAACGCACTACATGTAATCGTGCCTTTGAAGTGTTGGCTCAGGGTATTTTGGCTTTTACTCGCCAGTTGAAACACCAAAGCACCGTAGATGAAGACGGAGCTCGAAGGAAAATACTGAAGAGAAGCAGATTGAAATGACTGACACGTCAAGTAGGATAAATAAAACATCGGGCGCGATTCAAAGCCCCCCCCTCCTCCACCTACCGAACTCGCCAACGGTACGTTTGCGTTGGTGAGTATGTAACTAATAACTTGTGTTTGTATTGTTTGACGAGGTTCCACTCAGATTAGTCCTCTATTGAAGGTTTTCAGTCCAAGGTCGGAGATAAATCCTGAGCTGGAAGAAGAGAATGGAATGAAAAAAGGTAAAATGTGCCGTCATGGTCATGTTTTGTTAGACTGGAAGAGAGACCTCATCCATTGTAAGGTATAGTAGGTATACCAAAGACTTGCCCTTTCAATAGGTATTTAAATATGGCTAAGTTGAGTTGATCCACTTCAACGTTTTCCATACAAAGTTCCTAATCTCTTGTAACTTCTCATTAAACATACAATATGTCAAATCATAAGCAATACATTTTTGATCCAGTATAGTGTGGTACACGTTAAGTTGTACGAGAGGTTCATATTTGTTGCAATAAAAGACTGGAAACCTTTATTCGTCATGGCCATCGCGAAGTTCATCCGTTACTATTTGGATCGCGAGCCCATGGTGGTGCTTTCGTGTGCCATCGGTGCTGTGGCTATTTCGATGCCACTAGTGGTGGTGCCTATTCGACGGTCTATGGGTCTCCCGACTGATCAGTACGACGGTCCCCACACCCCGGACTACATGAAGAAATCGCGCGGCCATTTGGTCCCCAAGTCGGAAGGATAAACACAAGGTTGGACTTGTCAATACAAAACCCAAGATCAGCAGATGTCTTTTTCAGAAAGAGAGAGAAAATAGTCGATACATTTTGACAGGTAATAAATGGGTGCTGTTTTAGAAAAGGTAAAAAAAGGGTTTTATTTCTAACACGTGACATCACTTGATTGGGTTTTTGTTAGATGGTATCAAGTTGCACGGCAAAAAAAAGAGATCTTTGTCTTGTAATACACGTAGCTGGCCCTGTCGGGCTCCGAAGTTTTACCAGGACTTTGATGCTATTAATGACTTTTTAGCTATCTTAAAGGGTATTTGAACAGGTTTGCAGTCTAAAGAGTGGCGACGGATGCATGCATATTGCAATGTGTGAGACATTTAAGTCTTTAAGAGAAACGACAGCGCTGGAAAATGATGCATTTCGTACTTGTCGACCTACGTGACAAGTACGTGCCACCGGATGGACTTAGTGAATCGAGCCACTTCGGTCAAGTACTGCAGGAATTGCACAATATGTTCATCACGCATTGCTGCACTTGTACGTGTCAATTTCATCTTAGGATGGAAACAATAAACGTGTCGTTGTACTGATCTCTCAGGTCAAGAAGTAGCGCAGCGCTAATCTAGCAAATCAAAAGCATGAGTCAAAAGTCGTGGACATACACGGAGCCCAAAACGTGCGTGTCTTGTATGCACGTTGGCAGGTTAAATACCTTCACTTAAATTACTGTTTAAATAATTATTTAAAAATTATAAAATAAAATAAAAATCATTTTAAAAACACTGTCCTTATCGCTGTATTTTAAAGTGATCTATTTTCGTTCTTGTTTAGTAATCATCAGAATTCGGAGGCAAAAAATGAGCTCACTCACCCATAATTAATCATACCCAATTCTCCTAACGTAGAAATAACCCAATTCCAATGAGCTCTACCGGGAAGTCTGTATTTGTGCCGACGCAGGTACGAGATGCTTGGTTTCAAAAGCTACGGTCATCCGTGGCAAACAAAGGATGTTTTGACTGCAACAAGCGTCATCCGACGTGGGCTACGGTCACATACGGTGTCTTTATCTGTCTGGACTGTTCGGGTTACCACCGTCGACTAGGCGTTCACCTGTCGTTCGTACGCTCTATTGATATGGACGAATGGACCGAGGATCAACTTAAAGCCATGTCCGAGGGCGGCAACGCAGAAGCTCGTAAATTCTTTAAACAATACGGTGCAGCCGAGATGACAAGTGTACGATTTCGCACGACGGAGTCAAGGATCTTTTTTTTGTATTGACGTCAGTGTTTTTTGGTATTGGAATTGTACAGATTGAAGCCAAATATAACTCTAAAGCAGCACAAATGTACAAGATGGCACTAATGAAGAAGGTCAAGGCATCAAAGTTGCAGTTTGTTGCTCCGGAAGTGGAAGAGGTACAAAAAATAAAGGTGGGTACATTATTGTGGTTGTAGCAATGCGAACTACACTTATGGTGTATTTTGTTGTTACTGTGAGCAGGAGATTCGAGAGAATGAGATTGATGGTCTTGAGGCGCTGGTGAAACATGTGGAGATTAAGAGTGACATCGGTACGACGACAGCTGTCAATGGACATTTGAAGCGCGAAGTACCTGCTGCTGTTGCTATGAAGAAGCCGTCATCGGCTACACCTTCGCCACTGCAGGCGGGTTTACTGAGTGTCAACCGTCCCGTTGTACTGCTGGGAGCGAAGGCTGGTGAGGCAACAGCATCTGCTACTACTGTCAGTACTGGACGATTGAACACGCGCAGCAAGGTAAGGAGGGTTGTATTTTGTTCAAGTGCGTTGCATTTGCATTGTTTGTTTACTTACTTTAATGATTGTTTGTTATGACAATAGGCTACTCGTCTTGGAGCCACAAAGCTGTCGACAGGAGGCAAGGCGACCCGTTTGGGAACTAGTAAACTGTCGAAGGGTGCAGACGACTTTGATTTCGACGACATTCCATTTGAGGTGCGTCAGCATCAACTATCAAGTAGGGGATGTCGTGACAAAATTTGCTGATAAAGTTGCGTATGCTTTGTGCTTTACTGATAGAACCCGCCTCCACCTCCTCCTTCTGCTGAAGAGTTATCAGCTGTGAAACAGATTAATGATGACGAAGCACTTGCACGAGCATTGCAGGAGGCTGAGACGTAAGTGTACAGTCCGATCATCTCTATCTATATGTAAGCACCTGACTTGCTTGTGAATGATGCTACGCAGTGAGCGCATTGCAACCAAAGCCGTTTCTACGTCGGCAACGTATCAGTCCGATTCAAGTCAACATCAGAATCTCGACAAGTACAAGAATGCCAAGTCCATATCATCTGACAACTTCTTTGGCAGTGAGGTGGTACAAGCAGATAGCTCGCAGCTGTTACGATTTCAGGGTTCGCAGTCGATCTCGAGTGACGCGTTTTATGGCAACAATACCAGAGGTCGCTCTACTTCTGGAGAGAGTACGTTTGTTTTCTATTTGTTGTCTACAACGATTTAGCAAGGTGGTTCCTAACGATATACCGTTGTGGTGGTGACATGTCAACTGCAGTGACTGATGAGGCCGCTTATCAATTACAGCTGATGAAGGACAGTGTGGCCAATAAGGCGACCAAGGTAAATTGTGGTACAGCGACATTTGGTCAATTGCTACGTCTTTTGTATGCTCACGATACATTCTTATTTGTTTTCATTGATGCAATAGCTAAAGAACATGACGAGCGGGTTTTTCAACGACCTGCAATCGCGCTATTCGTAGGCGATGAGCAGAGTGTAGCTATCTTTTAGGACCATATCGCTTCTGTCCACGTGGCAGTCTGTGCACAGTTAATATAGCCGGATACTGGAAATGGACTGATTCTCTTAACTTGACATTTGTATGATATCAGAGATCTAGAATGAATACCTCTTTATTTTGTTGCCGTATCCCTAATCGAATTGCGTTGCTATTTTCCACGACCACGTGTCACTTCAAACGTCATTTCTGAATAATCAGTGACCTGGTCATTTATACCTTTGTAACAATGTGGAGCACCAAGCAAATGATGCTGCTGGCTCTCGTAGCACTTGTACTGGGCTCCGTCCCAGCTGTACAAGCCGACGAAAAAGAATGTGAAGGTCGGTCTTATTCCTGCAATTGTATTGATGTAAATACTTGAGACTTACAGCATATTGGTATATATATCGTTGATACAGTGTGCATCAAGGTGATTAATGACATAAAAGCCACGTATGCAAAGCTGGTGGAGGAGAAACCCAAGAGCAAGAAGCAGGATCTAGCTGAGACAGCTGTGACTAAACTCTGTGGCAAGAAGCTGAGCACCAAGGACAATAAGCTGGTACAGTGCTGCAATGCAATGCAATGGCTGGCAGCAGCTACTATTGAAGTTGAACTGACAATTTGTATCTATTTCGAATGTCTTGATACAGTGCTACAATCTGGAGCCTCTGAAGAAGGATGTGGCTCGTCAGGTGGTGTTCAAGAAAGATTCACACAAGATCTGCAAGTCTTTGGAGAAGAAGAACCCAGACTTTTGCTCAATGCGATACCGTACGTTGCATTGACAATGATATTGGGACATGGCAATGCAATGGGTTTAACTGGGGTGTTTTGTGTTCTGTGATGATATAGCCGTCAAGACGGATGCTAACACAGATTATTCAAAGATGCGCGTGAAGCAGCTTCGAAAGATTTTGGGAGAGCGTGGAGTCGAGTGCATTGGATGCGTGGAGAAGGCCGATTTTATTGCCAAGATTAAGGCCACGGAATCGACTCATGGAGAGTTGTAGACACACAAAGCAGAGTCGATGAGAGCTCCAAGTACCGGCAATCATCGTTGCAATCCTAGCGTGTAATTGTGGAGCTTCGTGGACAATACACTACCTAATACAGTACTGCATACTGCATGAAAAATTAGCTTTAACCTTTTTTGTTGTGATAATTTTTCGCTATTTTTTGATAAAAAAGTGATATTTCTATTACATTAGTGACAAGACAATGTGCTATTTGTCTCGTCACTTTGTACCATATGAAGCAAACATTCCAGGACGGTAATCCGTTTACAGTCCAAGATTTGCTGTCCGTAAAATCTGGATTATAGACGATCCCACCAACACGAACACGAAAAAACCCAGCAGCAAAGGACCGACGCTGTACCCCTTCTCCTCCTGCAACAATCAACATCGTTTGTATCAGCAAGTATACAAACCAGTTGCTGTAGCTATTACAAGTAGACAAACCTTTTCAGGCTGCGAAACAAGGCCACGCTTTGTAATATTCGCCAAGTGTTTCTCAGAACGAAGACGAATCTTTGCCGGGGCCGCCATAATGTCGTTCTTTTGTGCAAATGTTATAATGATCACGATACAAATGTCAACTTTATAATGAGCACTATTTTTGACCAATTAGAGGCTTGGCCACGTGTCGCCAAAGTTATGTTTTAGCACCAGATATACGTGGACCACATGAGATTACGTAAATCCAGCCTGCATGAAACGCATGCAACATCTTCATGAACGAGTATACGAGTGTATCAACGGGAACAACAAAAGATATACGGCACAGCACTATACTGCATCGTAATAGCTAGACCCAGAGCTTTACTGGCGCGCGTTGATCTCGCTGGCCAACTTGTTCTCCAGCAGCATGTGGCTTTCAGGCGCAAGGCCGACGCAAGCGCGGAAGAGATTAATCATACACTCACGCTGCGCAAAGAGCGCGTTCACCACGGGAGTGCCACGTGGGACGAGTGGTGCCTTGAGCATGTAGCTGAGAATCGACAGGATCGAGTGCAAGTGCTCGAAGTCTGAGGTGCCTTCCTTCTTGATCGTTATGCGCTCAGCGAGCTCGCAAACGAGAACCAGGTCCAGAATCAACGGCGAAGCCAGCAGCGAGTCCTCGCACGTGTTGTGCATCGAAATGGTGTTATTGCCATTCATAAAGATCTTGGACGTATACTCGTCCAGTGCACGCTTGCTGTCGCCCACATGCGGCACGTACTTAATCACCACAACGTGGTCCGGGTGCTCGTTCTCCTTGTACAGCAGACGGTTGGAGGCCACCATGTCGTCCACGACGTTCGACTTGGAAATCTCCTTCGAGCGAAACTGCTGCGGAGCCGACAGGTTCTTGCCATCATTGTTTCCCAAGTGATTGTAGCTCACGATAGACGTGGGCTTGATACCAGCTGACACGAGAAAGTCCACAAGTACAGACTTCATCTTGGTCTGGCCCGACTTGAAATCGTCACCACCCACGAACACCTTTTTCTCTTCAGCCAAGTCTAGCACACCGGGCACGAAAGTGTTCTGTGGACTGCCATTAATGTACGAGCATCCCTCAAGAATTGAGGCCACAGCGAAGATAGTGGAAGGCGACACCTCCTCCTCACCGGCCTTAATGGACTCGAGCAGATTGGCCGACGTGTCGTTCACCCCCTCCACTATGTCGGAAAACCGCTCTGTGTTAGCAGACCACAGTACAATGACCTTATCCAGGTTGTTGCTCTGCTTAAAATCACGGATCTGTTTGCGCACATCATCGAGGTTCTCCTGCTTGGAGCCCTTAAGTAAATTGTTCGCGCGGTCAGCCTGGTTGGCAGCGATGAAGTCTGGGTAGTAAATGGATGGCAATGGCTTGATCTTTTCCAAATACGGCACCAGCTGGCGCTGCAGGTCGTGGTCGAGCACCTGGGCACGCTTCATAGCCTCAGCTAGATTGTGGGATGAAATGTCCCATCCACCGATGACCAAGTCATTGGGCGACACCATCGGCAACAGGTTGTGGAACGGAATGTATACGCCCTCACCATTGGCGTTCGTGCCAAGACGAACAGTAGAGGCCTGGGTGACGGAACCAAAGTAGTTAGGCTCTTGCACACCCTCCTTAGTAGTCCACGTGATGTGGTGCTTGTTGGCGAGGATGCTAGCCACCAGCGTCGAGCCGTTGTTGCCTCCCAGACCCACAATCATGACACCGAGTTTTGGCACTTTACGCTGCGTCTTGAACGTATACTTCTCTTCCAGGGGTGTAGCCACAGTCCCCTCCACACGCGTTGTAGTGTACGTGTACTGCGACGTGATTTCATCGTCAGTATAGACGACGTTCTTACTGTTCACAGTAAAAGGTTCAGAAAAGAAATCGGACGAGGCCATTGTGATCTTGGAAAGTGCTTGGTAACTTGTTTGACTTGAGGTAAATTCAAGAATGAATTCCTCTCGCTAAAAGGTATCGCTCACCCGGTGTGGTCCCCGTCAAAAACGATATACGGTGAACTTTTTCGATAGGGTCAAACCGTCGCATATTTTGCATCGCGACGAAATGGTTCCGACTATTTGGTTTAATTATGGGACACATTGTGCCGGTTCGATGAACGTGGTCGGATTGAGACATTCTAGACTTGCACTTTTAGTTCGAGATCCGACTGTAGAAGAGCCATGCGCAACTTTAGGATTGCATTGTATCATTGCATTGTTGAACATTCTAGAACTTACATGTACCGATCGCCAAAAATAACGGTGACATGCGCTAATAGTACGATAAAGTTTTATAGCGGTTACTAATCAGATTAGTATCATAATGTAGATTGTGTGCACCACAGGAGACGCTTGTAAAAGGATTTTAGCAGGTGTCTCGAATTGATAGCATCTATTGATTACATTTGTATAAAGAACGTGCTTCAAACAATTCCGAACAATCTCCCATAGAAGTTAGGCCAGGCAGTCTGCATTGCTTTGTTCTACCAGCAATGATGGAAATTCCCGCCCCGCTAATGAACGGATCCATGATGTACCTGATGCTAACGCTGCTAACTTGTTTCACTGGAATTGGCATGGGAGTCACTGGCAAAATGAGTCGCGAGAACTCGTCGTACGTTGGGCGTTTTGTCTGTCTGTGATAGTCTCTATGTTTCATCCAATAGGGTAGACAAATGCTCAGTTTTGTTGCCGTGTAGGATCTTCGTGTTGTTGGCATTTATGACTGGCTTTTGTCTGTGGATGTTTTGGTGAGGAAGAAAATAACAACTGATAGCATCATTGTTTGAGCGGAATTTTTCTACTGACAAGTGTGGTGTGTGGTATTTTACTGTGAGGTAGGGCTTGCTGTTGGCTGCATCAGTGGCACATCCTGGTCGTCCCTACTTATGGTGCAGAATAGGTAACATGCTGCTGAGATATTGGCTGGGAGAAAGTGACCCGGCAGGTGACAAGTGCGAGAACCGACAACTTATGGTCTTTTTAGCGGACAAATCTGAATGAACATCGAAACGGAACAAGAGGTTCCATTTATTTTTATTCCTACATGACAGTTTCTTGTGGGTCTGTAAAAGATCGTGAACTGTGTGTGAGCTCAAGTTATGTTTTTCTCTCATTTATACTGCAACAGCGACGGCCATTTTTGCTGCCTAACGTGGCTATCGGTGCCCGCGTCGCTTTGGGCGTTGCACACACCAAATCCTGCAGCCTAGAAGCGAAATCGCACGCTTCCTTCAACTTCGTCTGCACTTGTACAAGCAGCTTCTTGGCCCATGCCGAAAGTAAATTGATGAGAGTTGAAGTCCATATCAGGTGTGATGTCGAAGTCTTCCTCATCTTCGCCATCGAAATAGTCACGAATAATACGCACAGATTTCTCGTAGATGTCTGCAGGACATTGACACAATTAGCTACATACACGTGCCTTTTACCGATAATTGCTAAGCTAGCTTACCTTCTTCGTGGTGAAACTGTAGGTTCTGGATCAGCTCAATACCATCTGCTTCTTCGATGTGTCGGACCATACAGTTTTCAGTGTCAGTCAGTGACATAGATGCCTCCCCTGCACGAAGAATGTTTTCCAGAGCGTCTAATGACACATTGATCACACGCGGATCTTGCACATCCAAGAGCTTTACTAAAGGAGGAATGCAGCCTGAGATCCAGCATTCGAACGCAAGTTAGTGACCTACAAAACCATAGCAACCATCAGCAATGGTCATACCTTGTTGTACTAAATATTTGATTTGCTCTGGGGTGCCGCCGGAAGTGGCATTTGAAATAGCCCATGCAGCTTCTTTTCGGACGTCAAGCTCTACCGACATCATCTGAGACAGCAGTGGTGGAATCACATTGCTATCGATCACTTCCTGAATCTGACCTGGTGTACCAGCCGTAATGTTTGATATCGCCCAGCACGCTTCCTTGCGGATCAGCTTCTTTCCATGTTTGAGGAGTGGCACGAAACGCGGCAGCACTATCAGGTCCAGCATCACCTGTGTTTGCTGCTCATTGCCTGTCACGATATTTCCGATGGTGCGTAGAGCCGGCGTTTGGACGGATGTTAACGTGTGACCCACCAGGTCCACTACTCGTCGGCATACGCCAGCATCAATAACGGCCTGAATTGTCTCGGTCGTGCCGTCCGAGAGATATGAAAGCATCCAGCACGCATCCGTGACAACTTCCTCGTCCGGGGAATGAATCAAATGCGGGAGCAGTTTCAGCGCTGGGCTTACAAGAGCAAAATCTGGTCGGGGCTTACCCCGGCAAAAGTTCGATAGCGTCCATGTCGCGTTTCGCAATATAGAGAGCTTTCCGGAAGATCTCCGCAATACTGCTAGCAACGGCATCATCGCACCCGCATTCAGCACCAAATCGCGACAATGCGGTGAATCACCCGAGATATTTCCTAATGCCCACACTGCTTGTTCACAGACATCTTCGTTGGGAGAAAGTAGCAGTCCACAGAGCAGCTCAACCGCGCCACATCTGATCACCACCTCCGTGTGTTTCGTCGTGCCCGAGGCGATATTCGTGAGCGCCCACGCAGCCTCAAACTGCATCTCTGGTCGATCATGCTGCTTTAGAAAATCCACAAGTAGCGGCACGACACCCAGGTTGATTACTTCCTGAATAGGCGGATCGATCTCTACTCAGCACCAAGACGACAAGAGTATCACCATTACACCATAGTTCTTCTCTACAAAACATCATACAGCTTCATACCAAGTGACAAAAGCCGCCGTAACTTGGATACTGCGTTTGATCGCTCCATCGGGTCCAATGACTGAATCATTGCCGCAATCTTGGGCAAGTCTGATACCTACAACAGAAAAAGACACACACATCAAAAAAAATCATCTACTGTTCAGTCTGTCCATTTGGTATAGGAAAAGCGTACACTGACGCCGTTAAGGGAATGCATTGGCATGTCTGGACTCGTGCTTGCCATCTCCACACTCATGCCATTGCTGCTATGGTCCTGTTACAGGAGGATATAATTACAATACAGTTAGTACAATCTTCTTTTATATTCAGTACATTGTAATTTGTTGTTGTGTACCGAGGAAATCATTCGTCTTCGCTGGTTCAGTCGCTCTTCGCGTCGGTTCTTGCGGATTTGGATAGTAGTGTCCTCACGTCTCCGTCGCGTCTCATCGACGTCGATTCCTTTCTTAAAGTTGCGCATACGATCGGCAACACGCAGTGCGGAGAAGGAGGTGCTCGTAGCCATCGCTGCGCTGTACTGTACTCGTGTGAGATGATGTGATGTGCCCTTGATCCGAGTAATCGTCGAGTGGCATTTGAAACCTTGCCAAATATTAATTAAGAGAGGTCGTCCTGCTATTGCTTGGCAGTGAAATGTCGCTTTTTTTATGGCTTTATACATAAATAAGGCGTAATAAAAAAAGCTGGAATAAAAAAGTAACACCTTGTGCAAAATAAAAATCAAAAACTAAATGTTTCTGCCCTAAATAGAGCAGGTTGTCCATTGTAGACCTGGATTTAGTCACTCGACGCTAAAAAAAACGACAAAACCGCTGGAAAACGTTATTTCTTCGATGATGCTTCCATCCTATTGCTGCCTCTTCTGTTAATAACGGACTAAGAACGATTTAGCAACACATTTGCGCTGGACGTGAGGTTACACTAGGAAACTACGCGTGGACGAAGCTTTCTTAACACGTTGGAAAATGTGATCGAGGTCCTAGCAACCATGAACTTCTTCTGCAAACTTTAAGGTACTTACTTAAGCAAGTTTGAAATTGTTTTTTACATATTGTTCTTGTAATAGGGCACCCTCCGACTATACTGATTACAGTATAGTCTACTTTCACTGATTACAGTGAAAGCAGGTGCCTCAATTACCTCTCTTACACAAGAGGCAGAGGAAGCTTTACTTCTAAACAAACGCTTAGAAGTAGAGGAAAAGAAAACTGTATATAATATACTTAACTATCTTAACAAAACTAATCTTTTATAACCTATGTTAACTATATTAAACTACAACTGTAGACGGGCACTTCTACGAAGTTGCCTCGTACTACGAGCACACACCTTATGCACAAGCGAGGAAGCGGTTAGACCATCTTATCTTCGCGTGCGAGGGTGGTTGGGAGGTTGGTCGACTGCTTAAGCAGTCGTACCACCAGTTGCCTCTCGCTTGAGCGAGAGTGCAACGAACTTCTTAACGCTTACAACACCGACGTCACGCAGAAGTTTCTCAACTTCTCGTGCGTGGTGTGCTTGTTTAAGTAAATTCAAGACTGAGATATATTTAATTAATTATAACTAAATATATATTTAACTACTGATTGGCTATATATATATATATAGATAGATCGGATACGCGACTCTTTAGAAGCGTATCCTGTCGCATGATCTTAAATCTAGATTAAGATCGCAATTGACGTCCTTCTGAGACGTCGTGATGCCTAGCTTCAACTAGCGTCATCCCTTCTCATGTGAATCCATCAATGGATATCACATTCACGAGGGTGGATCACACTTGTGTGTCGCACCCAAGTGACTAATCATGGATACTTTTAGACCAAACATTAAGTATATTACTTAATGTTTACGTGTAACTAGGTACCCTGTTACACCATCCCCCGTTTTAGAACGATGTTTACATTTTATAAAACATCGCCTAAGAGACAGAGAGACTGGCGAGCCGTTTATAAACGCGCCGCTTTAGTCTGCTCAGTACTCATGCCACCGAAACTTGGTAAGGCTGATGGGTCGCCTGCAAAGGCACCCATGCAGTCCAGCAATAAGCGCACGCGCCGCGATTTATCGCAGCCGTCGCAAAGTGCGTCAGGCACTGGGATGGATCTTCCATCTCACGATAATGTGGATGAAGATCCATCTCTCATTGTTGACTACAATGAGACCACACCACTGCCATCACCCCAAAGTGGCGATGAGCATAGTGCATTGATGGGACATATGTCCCCATCATTTGAGGCACCCGTCCTTGAGGAAGCATCTATGCTTCCTACAAGCGAAGGTAACGCCTCGTCGTCTGCGCCTACGAACGCAGCGACTAAGACTGAGCACGCTACTTCGAAAGGAGTAGTCGCGACTCAGTCAGATGTAACTCCTCAAGCTGATGTCTTGACAATCCATAATGGAGAGTCAGACTCAGCTGAGTGTGAGCTTAAAGCTCCACCAAGTACACCGTCGGCCTCACTAGCCCGCCGTCGCGAGGGCGGCTACGTGAGTGGTGGCTTGCCACCAATGCCACCTCCATCTGAGTGGATGAACTCGGATGGGTCTAGCGCAGCGCTTTTGCAGCGTGCCACTATAGACGCTCATAAATTCTATAGCGTCTTTCCTTTGTGGAAAAAGCAGGGCAAAGCACTTGGTCGTGCTTTCCCAATTCCAGTCGTGCTGCGTTTTAACGAAACAGCCGACGAATATGAAGCCGAACTTCGGCGCCGTGTTACCTTGCATGTAGATGCAACGAAACAACGGTCGCAACGAATCAGCTTCGCCATGAAGCGTGCGCATGAAATTTTGGGTGGTAAGCGACCCCAATTAATTCTCGCCACGCTTCTTCTGCTAGTCCATCCGGACCTAGCAGAAAGAAGACAGCTGGTGCTGCTTCACATAAGCAGCCACCAGCCCAGGCACGTCAACGCGCAAAGCGTCCACAGGCTCCCACGAGTCAAAGCTCGTTGGGTAACCCTTCCACTGGACAAGGATTTGGAGCTTTCGCTTCACAAACCGGTGGGCCAACAGACTTCCAACAAGGAAGCGCGTATTCCCATCCGTGTCCACCAACACAGGTGGCGCCCGATAGGAGTGGCGATTACGCCCACCTAATCCCGGCTGCCTACCCTGCTGCTGTTCAGTCGCAGGCTGAGTCTGCTGCGCTGAAGAGACAGGTGACAGATCTCGAGAGTCAAGTCTCGCGACTGACTTTGGATCTGCGCGATGTGAGGACGAGGGACCGTCAGGGGTATGACCGCCTGAAGACCCGTTTGGACATCTTAGAGCGACTGGTGATGAGAGACCCGCGTCAAGCGCGGAGTCCTCCTCGATCACCGAGTCCTCTATCGCCTCGTTCATACACGGGGAGCCTCTCGGCTTCCTCGTCGCCTGATCGGTCGCGACGCTCGACTCACAGTTGACGTCACCATCGGTCTCGTTAGACCGATGCGGGTATGTGATCTCTTCTGGATCAACATACCGTTTCAGACGACCCACGTAAAATACGGGGTGCGTCTTCATATACGGTGGGAGAGTGAGCCTATAATTTAGGTCTCCAACTTCTTCAACCACTGTGAAGGGCCCAATGAATCGGGGCAATAGCTTAGTAGTACCACCAGGTAGTACAGAAATTGCATGTTTAGGTAGGGTAGCAGTACTTAATAGCACTTTGTCCACCACACTAAAGTGTTCATTGTTTTTGCGACCATTCTGGTCTGCATATTGTTTTTGCTTGTCCTGTGCTTTTGCCATCGCGTCACGGACTTTACGTGTGATGGCTAATCGCTCATCCACAAAGCGCTGAGCTTCGCTCACGCTTTTAGCATCCAGCTCGCCGATGACGCCTCCAAAAAGGTCGTTCATGGGTCGACGTTGTTGACAACACTATAGTGTCATTATCAAGGAGCACTGGCATTTCTTGCCGTGCCTCCTTTGTGACACCTATAGGTGTCGTGACCACTGCTAAATTAGCAGTGTCACTAGGGCAACCTTGGCCCTCTTTGGCATTTGCACCGAGCGAAGTGAGGGGCCCTCCCCCACTAAGACTCGGGCTGCGTACAAACGAGACTGGCGTTAGAGGATGACGCAGTCCGTTAATGTAAAACGGTGTTTCACCCGTACTGGAGTGAACACTGTTGTTAATAGCGAACTCCACGAATGGAAATTGCTTGCTCCATTCTTTAGGAGTCGCTACGGTACGCAACACATCCGCCACGACTCGATTGGCCCGTTCTGTTTGGCCATCGGTCTGGGGATGATCAGCGGTTGACATGTGGAGCTTGCTTCCCAGCAGCTCAAACACATGTCGCCAAAAACCCGACGTAAAACGCGGATACCGATCCGATACTATGGACTCGGGCATCCCGTGCAGTCGATACATGTGATCCAGAAACAAGAGGGCATCCTCTTTTCCTGAGATCTTGGTTATACATGGTGCCAAATGCACCATCTTGCTCAGTCTGTCTACAAAGACGACGAGCCCCGTCCTGCCTTTATGGTCAGGCGGTAAGCCAAACATGAAGTCCAAACTGACCGACTTCCAACATTCAGTTGGAATCGGCAGTGGCTCCAGTGGCGCACTGTTTGAAGGTGCAGGCTTTATGCGCTGACACTCTTCACAATAGCGAATATAGTTGGCCACCCACCGATATAGGTGGGCCACCAAAATTGCTCTGACACTCGTAAGAATGTCTTCTCACGGCCCATATGCCCACTAGATGGCGCATCATGGCACTCGTAAAGTAGCATCAGCTTGAAATCTGTGTCATGAGGGACATAGATTCTCAAGGGATCACAGGGTGACAGTTGATGCCATAACAGGCCATAACTGTAACTAAAGCGATTTAGTTTCGCTTTGAGGTTCGACGGAATGGTAACTTTTCGTCCACCAAAATGATCCAACAGCAGGCGACAATGTTCGTCTTGCCTGTAACGCTCCTTGATATCGGAGGCCATTGAGCTCGTCACATGGTAGGCCTTCATGGCTGCCAATGTTGACGACTCAACTTGTGCTTTCGCACGAGACACACTATCCTGGTGTCTTGTCTCGAAGTCTGGTCTGCGCAATAACGCATCAGCCAAGACATTCGACTTACCTAACTTATATTCAACTTTTAAATTAAATTCAGAGAAGAATGTTAGCCATGTCGACATTCTCGGCGAGAGGTGCGGTGAATTTATAGCGGTCCGCAGTGATGCGTGATCCGTATAAACCACAAAAGGTTCGGTGCCCAAGAGGTGCACCCAAAACTTCACAAGGGCATACTTAATTGAAAGTAGCTCCTTGTCATGCACAGGGTAATTCAGCTCGGCAGCTTTTAAAAGCCGAGACTGATAAGAAATGACACGGTCAACGCCGTCGTCATCCTTCTGGATGAGCGCGCTGCCGATTCCAAAATTGCTTGCATCGCAGACGACGCTAAAGGGCTTATCCGCGTCTGGCAATGCCAAGACCGGTGCCTCTACAAGAGATTGCTTCACTGATGTGAAAGCATCTTTTTGTTCCTTTGACCAAATCCA